GAAGTACGAGTGTCTTTTCGCTTACAAGCCAGTAAGAAATTCTTCGGGATCAGGCCTCACTGGCCTCTTTCTTGACACGATTGTACAAGAACTTCATTTAGACATGAACGATTGTAGAGGTCAAGAGGTCAAGAAACAGATTTAACAGAACTTTTCGCTGCATCGGCCACCACCAAGATTAGTTCAGTTAAATCTGTTTCTTTATTTGGATTTCTGCAAAGACTATTTATTTTATTCTCTGCATCAATAAAGCTATGGGAAGTGATATCCAAGCACAAAGAAAGATTATCGTTAAAAAAAAGTTTACGAAACTCGCTCGGAGATTAGGGTTTCTAGTCTTGCTGCTATACGCTTTAACTACTCTTCAGTTCGTGATGCTCTTCAAGATTTTCACGAAGAAACGAATACCTCAGTTGCAGCATCAGAGGCATTGTCACTAATTCAGGATATGGAGCAATTTGAGTTCATAATTACAATGGTGGCTTGGTTAGATATATTATTTCAAGTAAATATTGTAAGTAAAGCTATTCAATCTGAAACTATGAACTTACCAAATGCATCACGATTACTGAAAAACTGTTCGGAATTTGTGAAGCAGTACCATAGATTTTCCCCAAATCTAATCACAGCTAAGGAAATAGCCGAAAGTCTCTAGTCGAAATAAATCCAGTTTTAAACAACTGTCAAAATCCAATGATACATGGTGCATTTTTATACGACATGAAAATTATTCCAGAAAAATCCATGTTGAAAAAGCCTGTGCTGATTTCCATGTCACTTTAACTGATGGAGAAATATGTGACATATCCGGACATGAATTGGTTGAAGAACTTGTGTGCCTGAACTCATTATTAAAATATCTTCCATCAGGAGAGTCAATAAAAGTGCTTTAACTTATAAAAAAAATGATCTGCAAGATATTTTCCTGAACTGTACCTCTAACTGTCGCCAAAGGAAAATGAAGCTTCAGTAAATTAAAACTTACCTACGTCTACTGTGTCAGGAAAGATTGTCCGATCTTGTTGATGTCGATACAAAATTGCCTATACAAAATACTATTGGCCGAAATTTAAATACATCAGACTTAATAAAAGCTTTTTCTGGTGGAAAATTGAGCAACTACTTTAACAATTGAGCTTTTTTTATTTAAAGGGGCGCCAGTTTTGAGACCTCGTAAAAATTTTTATAGGACCGCCACTGTGTACATAAGTATCTACTTATTGTGCTTGAAAATACCTATATTTAAATAAGAATATAAATGTTCCTTTCACGTCTTCTCCCGAATCGCGTTATCACTTCATCTACTTCAATGGGTACCTTTTTATGGATGAAGATGAGATGGAGAAATGCCATTCCGGTTAGACATTATTCAACCATTCAAATCAAATCAAATAATTTATTCATCGAAGTAAGAAATATAAATTTCATCTATCTTTAGTCTTTTTTTAAATCTACCACATTGAATCTCTTAGCCACGATTTGATTCATCGTGACGAAGAGAAAGGTCTCTCCGCTGTCGCTACACTAACAGGTAGTGTAGAGAAAAAAAATCTTATGTTAGGATAAATCTCAATATCAAAATTTAAAGTACGGTTAGAAATTGCAACTGCAGTATTACAACAGGGTGGGTTGTCTCCTTTTCCCCACCCTGCAAGCAAGACCATGCAAATTTCACACCATACAGCAGACAGCAGATTGTAGTGAATACATCATATTAATTATAAGTACATAAAAACACCCAGACTCAAACCAAAATCAATGTTCATCCCGTATATATTAGTTGGGATAATAATATGGGTCGGAAATAGACGGGGCTTCAACCCGCGATTCGTCGGTTAGTTACCGGAAATCCCACCATTAATCAAAAGGAGCCGACTCATTTAATAATTAGTAGTCTCGGCATTTAGCACGATTAACGAAAAAAGTCGAAAAAATTGTTTTTTTTATGCGAAAAGTTGTCAAACGAGCAGACGATTCACCTGATGTTAAGTGAATACCGCCGCCCATGGACATCTGCTACACCCGAGGGTTACAGATGCGTTGTCAACCTTTTGAAAATTGGGCTCCGGCTAACTCACTCACCAGACGAAACGCGAAAGTAATTGTCGTACTTCCACTTTACGCTGGTCTTCTGTTAGGTTGTGGTACTTACCCGGACGGGCCTGCCCATTCGTGTAACAGCCGAGGCTGCTGCGTGGCCCTACCACCGTGTGAATTGTTATGAGTATAATAAGTAATGTTTTAGCTTCATTAATATTTTATAGTTTTTAAAAATCTATAACACGTATATACAGGGAGTCTTTTTGACAAGTGCCCAAATTTTCACAGGAGGTTCAGACTCGCTAGTATAATCGTTTATTGAAATAACCTTTTTTTTTTTCAAAAAAATTGCCATTCCCTAAAAAACAGAACTTGTTGACAATGCGGTAGTCATTCATAAATACCTAAATGTTACTTTGCACGCACACAAATACAACTAAGCGCTCGCGATAAATCGGAGACAACACGTGCCGGTACGGCGGCGGCGTTCAAAGCGTTGCGTCATAAAACTTCGTTCTCTGCCGCTCTGCCCCTCCCGTCCGCGGTGACCGCTCTATGCAGCCGCTGCCCGCTGCCCTTCGTCAGATAGTTTGCTAACCAATTTGCTGCCCAATTTGACCGTGACCTACTTAACGTCGCGCATGCTATTTTTTAGATTTGCTTATCTCTAACGATGTCCAAACAACAACGCAGTTATGAGAACTGTGGGTATTACGAGATGGTACGATACATTTTAAGTGGTGAAAGTTTACACGGAGCGCAAAGACTTTATGAAAATGACTCTCACCGCGTTTAAAAAAACAGGCAATGAACTCAAGTGTACCTAATCGAAGGACAATTTGGCAGCCAACCAAAGGATATAATTTTTTTTACAATTTACTACACCGGCGTATACAATGCTCAGACACAAGTAATGTTAAAAAATAGTTTGAGAAAGCGTGGTCAGCTTTGAATAGAGAGAAATGGACTCCATTTTGAACAATTGTTAAAATATCTGTGTGTTTTTTGTGACTTAATTTAGGTTAGTTTGTAAATAGTTGATTCTACTTTTTAAATACGCCATAATAAGTACGAATAATAGTGTGTGATTTTAAAATAATAAAGTAGTATTTAATATTATGATTTATAATTCTGCTTGTTGATAAATTCATAAGTGATTTTTCTCTATCGTTTAAAATTTATTTGATTTGAATTACGTCGGAGTTAAAGTTATTTACATTTACCCTAGTTTTTAATTAAAAAATGGATATACTTAGAAAAGCCCTTATTTATTATATAATATATAATAAAAAGTAGGAGGCCTGTAAATAAAAAACAATGATTTTGTGTCGCGCAACAGTTTTGAATTGAAGTTTTTTGAGTGTTTTATTTTAAGTTTTTTGTTTTTTGTTTTTTTTTTTTTTTTTTTTTTTTTAACTTCAGCGAAGTCACTGTGTCACGAATTCAGTGTTACACGCAAAGAGTACTTTTATATATCTGAAACACGAAATGTAACATCAGATGAAAGATGGCGGTGAATGGCGCAGTAAAATTCAAATTTTCCCCTTTTTCACCATTTCACCCTTAAACCTAATAATAATATTTAGGTACAGGGGCAGATTATCTGATAGGGTGGACTAGCGGCTATAGCAATTAATTAAAACGAAAATAATACTTGAAAACATTGTGTTTACTTGTATATGAGAAAATATAATCATACATAATGACACCGCACATCAAAAGTAAAAAAGAACATAATCCTAATTCAAATGAAGTGCATCATAGACAATTATACGTGGACAGCATCACGACTTTCCAACATTTTCCTAAAGGCAAACTAGGCATGTCAAGGGGCAAGCGGGTGGAATTGTAAAATAAAGAAAAAATATATAATGTAGCATATATATATAAGTAAATGACTTAATTACTGGTGCAATTATATATTTATATAATTGCACCAGTAATTAAGTCATTTACTTACACAATGAAAACTATTATTTTTGCTTCGAACCTCAATTTGCTTCAATTTATAACAAAAGATAAATTTAACTGATGGGACTGATTAAAATTTGCGTCTAAAAACAACAGATGGTACATGATCTCTGATTGAAGTTGGAAAGATACGCCTACAATGCACGTCGCGTCGACCGCGACTAGTGATCATCGGATATTTACAGACCCTAGCCTGAACCTCGGTTACGCTCTATGGTAACTAAGCTCGAGGGCTCCCGATGATACTTACCGGTTTGGAAGGCCACTAAGCTCTTAGGTCGCTTTGGCGGAAGCTCCATGGAGTGACTAGGCTCAAGACTTCGGCTTGGGCTGTCACTCAATACCCGTTTAGCATTACGATTCGAGAGGGCCGGACCTCGACCGGTAGCTATAATAATAAGAGAATATGAACTGGTGTTTTTCACAAAAGTAAGAACTTTAAAAAAAAGGGAAAAAAGAACAAAATCATCTGGATGCACAAAAAATAAAGAAAGCAATGTAAAAAAATAAGTATGTAAATGATCGTGACACGATCCACGGCCTTCTGTTTCGGTGCCGCCCGATTACCGACCGAGCTATTATAAAATTTTTTTTCGGTGAAATTTACCGTCATATTCGAATGATATGTTTTCATTCCCTGAAAACAGGGATAAAAGGACATTTTCTAAAAATTAAACCTAGCTAGATTAATTTTTCGCCCCCGAATCTACGCACATACTAAATTTCATGAAAATTGCTGGAGCCGTTTCCGAGATTGCGATTATATATATACAAGAATTTTAATTTTTTTTTTGTGGGTAGGCGTTAAACATAGCTCACACGTTTTATTCTGCTCTAATAATTTAATTAATTTCCATAATTGTGAAAACAAATAAAACAAAATTATTATTATTTATAAAGAGTGTAATAAGTGAGTGCATCAAAACTTACATAAACATCAATATCCATATGATATAACCTCACTTAGTATTCACTGCCAGTACTTCACTATGAGTTCCACCACTAAACCTGTACGCAGTTCAGAGGATCCTGTCAGAAATCTGGAGGTCAAGTTCGATGAGTGCATGCTGTCCTTTGAAGCAAAGCTGAATGCTGCCAAGCCATCAACTGTGCAGCAACTAGCAGCAGAATTTGCCCAGTTCAAGGACATGATAAAATCAGGTTTACAAGTGCTGAAGGGGCAAGTCGCAGCACTACACCAGATTACTGATGACCTTGACAACCGCAGCCGCCGTAAATTTCTCTTGTTTCGGGGTATTGCTGAAGGAAAGGATGATGACTTATTGCCCGCTATCAGTAATATTGTAACTAGTAATCTGAAGCTACCATCCAAGGACTTCACAATAAGTGACATCAAGTTGTGTTATCGTGTGGGTTCCACAAGTGACTCCACTAGACCAAGGCCGGTGTTAGTGAAATTCTCGGATCTGTCTGTTCGGAGAAAACTCTGGCACTCCAAAAAACATCTAAAGGGTAGTGGTATATCCATGGCGGAGTTCCTAACTGCCAGGAGGCGGCACATCTTCAAAGAGGCTCGTAGTGTTTTGGGCATGGAGCGTTGCTGGACTTCTGAAGGCGTCATATTTGTGAAGGATATCGACGGAATGAAGCTGAAGTTGACGTCGATGCAGCAGCTAAGCGAGCTAACTCAAACTGCAGGGTGTATGTCGCGGGACGAAGAACCCAAGGCTGGACGAGGGGCGCGGACTGGAAAAAAAAGAAACGCACCAAACTGATCTATACACTGAATACTAATTAATTGACTATTAAGGTATCTTTCTTTATATATTACCTACCACATGGTCATAGCGTAGAGTAATGGTTGTCTGTACATTCTTGTAATTTGATGCATTTCAACCTGTAACTAAATATAGCTTTTAATTTACTTTGTCATCTTGTTTGATATATATATATATATATATATATATATATATATATATATATATATATATATATATATATATATATATATATATATATATATATATATATATATATATATATATATATATATATATATATATATATATATATATATATATATATATATATATATATATATATATATATATATATATATATATATATATATATATATATATATATATATATATATATATATATATATATATATATATATATATATATATATATATATATATATATATATATATATATATATATATATATATATATATATATATATATATATATATATATATATATATATATATATATATATATATATATATATATATATATATATATATATATATATATATATATATATATATATATATATATATATATATATATATATATATATATATATATATATATATATATATATATATATATATATATATATATATATATATATATATATATATATATATATATATATATATATATATATATATATATATATATATATATATATATATATATATATATATATATATATATATATATATATATATATATATATATATATATATATATATATATATATATATATATATATATATATATATATATATATATATATATATATATATATATATATATATATATATATATATATATATATATATATATATATATATATATATATATATATATATATATATATATATATATATATATATATATATATATATATATATATATATATATATATATATATATATATATATATATATATATATATATATATATATATATATATATATATATATATATATATATATATATATATATATATATATATATATATATATATATATATATATATATATATATATATATATATATATATATATATATATATATATATATATATATATATATATATATATATATATATATATATATATATATATATATATATATATATATATATATATATATATATATATATATATATATATATATATATATATATATATATATATATATATATATATATATATATATATATATATATATATATATATATATATATATATATATATATATATATATATATATATATATATATATATATATATATATATATATATATATATATATATATATATATATATATATATATATATATATATATATATATATATATATATATATATATATATATATATATATATATATATATATATATATATATATATATATATATATATATATATATATATATATATATATATATATATATATATATATATATATATATATATATATATATATATATATATATATATATATATATATATATATATATATATATATATATATATATATATATATATATATATATATATATATATATATATATATATATATATATATATATATATATATATATATAACATAATATATATATATATATATATATATATATATATATATTATGTAATATATATATATGGGTACATATATATATATATATATATATATATATATATATATAGTGTACAATAAATAGTATGTGTAATATAATATATACGTGCAAGTATGTTTATAAAATTGTAATTATATATATTTATGATGAAGTATATTTAGTTTTGCCATATTCTTTATGATAGACACTAAAAATTTTGTATGTCATTTTAGCGTTACTACCCGTAACTTGTACTCAACCACCAAAGGTTAGCTGGAAGAAAATGCTATTTAGCATTAAGTTCGCCTTTGTACAAACTTCTAATACAATAAAGAATATACAAAACAAAACAAACAAAACAAGAATTGATCATTTAAAGGAAAAGATTAGGTTTTGGTTTAATACTTAAAGAATGAGTGAATTAAAGAATAAGAGGTACAGAACATAAAAGGAACGCTAAGGAGAAAGAAGAAAAACGAAAAGCGCCCACGAAAAATATTGAGCTGTTTTTTTTTTTCAAAAACAAAACGTGATAATTCTGAATCTTCTAAGGCAATACAAAGTGCGTCTATTGTCGTTCAGTTAAGTGGGATGTCAATAACGAAACACAAGAATATATTGCACAGAATGGCTTTAATCAAAAGTAAGAGAATATATGAAGATAAAATTTCACGTTTTCTGACAAAAAAATGTTTCCAAGAATTGGAAGAACGCATCAATTAGATTATAAAGCCACGAAAACTCATGTGAACATAAAAATGTGTTTTTGATATTAGTTAAAATGATCAGGAAGATAATATTGTTCTTTTATTTACATTCAACCATTATATTCATATTTTATAGATCAATACAATGGAATGAGAATGACAGACATGTTCTTAAAACAAACGCTCATTAATGACCAGTATGTATCATTTCGTGCAAGTAGGTTACGTTAGGTCTTCAACACTCCGCCTCACGAAATCAGATCAGTCACTATATTCATCTTAGTCCTAAGTTTAATAAACTTCATGGCAGGTAAAGCTTTTTTGAGAAAATCTGCCTCCATAATTATTATCTGTAGCACGGTATTTGACATCTATGTGTCCACCCTTCATAGCATCTGATAAAATGCTCCTTGACGCTGAATGTTTGGATTTAGTGCTTATAATTGGGTTCTTGGCCAACTTTTGCGCGGCTTGATTATCATTATGAATATCAATGATTCCTGTTTTTATATTCAGCTCATTCAGCAAGTTTTTCTGGTATATGGTTTCTTTCGATGCCTCCGTTAGAACCATGTACTCCGCCTCAGCTGTACTAAGTGCGACTGTTCTTTGCTTCTTAGTCTCCCAACTTATTGGTGTTCCGCCATATATAAATACGTAGCCTGTCACTGAGCGACGATCAATGGCGTACGATGCCCAATAAGCATCAGCTGCTCCTTCAAGCTTCATGTTTCCTTTTATGTAAGTCAGACCCTAAGTCTTTAGTTCCTTGTAAATATCACAGAACTCCGTTCAGATGTGTAGCAGTTGTTAAACTGGCTAAGGTGACTTACTGCAAACATTACATCCGGACAACACCCAAATCATTTCAAATCTCTGGATAATTAATTTCTTAATATTGTCTATTTTTTCTTGAGATTTGCTTGCAATTATAATATCGTCCACATATGTGCTAATAATAATAGTTTCTCCGCCTTTCGCGTATATGTACATGCATGGATCAACTTTGGTAGTTTTGAAACCTATTGATTTTAATTCAGTCGTTCCTTACAGCTTTAATATAGGGGCGCCGATGAGAATAAGATGCTTGCCTACAGCACTCTCAACATAATCCGTCTCTGGTAGATGGTACTGGATAGTGCAATGGATAGGATTTTTTTGACATATTCACTGGCAAGGAAAAAAGACTGACAATTCTTCGTTGCTATTTTCTGTCATTCTGTGCCCGATTCTTTGAACCAATGTAGTCCTTTTCATGAAAGAAGTCCCGCGGTGATTTTTGGAACTAAATTTGACAGGTCGGCCATGTTGTCGTTCGTCGATGTTATCAAGTTCGTTTGTTGTGGTAGATTTTTTGAGTTTTAAACTAGCTTAGTGCATTATTTTAAAGATTGTTTACAATGCCAAAAGTTGTAAAAAGTTCGGCTCGAGAAATGACATTGAAGGTGAAAGAATTCTGTGAAGCTGAACAAAAGAATCAAGGTGTTTTAATACCACTGAACAATGTTCGGAAGAGAGTCGCCGCCATAACAGGTACTTGCCATATAATAATTTTTTGCTGTATTGATGGGACTTTTATGATATAAATTCGTTTTGCGACAAAATTGAACAAATACATAACGTGATGAAATTAGGTAACCGAAATTAAAACGTATATTACATAGTACATAAGCATTATAAACTTAAAGTGACTATTATTTTTAATTGTTCATTCTTTAATTGCAGGTGTGTCAGAGAAAACTATAACAAGAATTACAAAAGAAGGTATAACAGCGGCGAGTACTTCGAAAAAAATTGTCACCCCGGGAAAGAGTCGCCCGCATCCGAAAAAGTTCGACTTAGACGGGTTCGATTTGTGCGCTATCCGGCAAAAATTCACAGTTTTTACGTTGTGCATAAAGAATTACCAACTTTGGCTAAATTACGAGCAGCTCTTAGAGAAGACATCAATTTTCAGGGAAGCATCACAACATTGCACAGGATATTAAATAGGATTGGTTTCAAGTACAAGCGATGTCAATCCAGACGCCAACTACTTATGGAACGTCACGACATTACCGCATGGCGTGCAAGATATTTGGATAAAATACGAATAAATCGCACTGTGGAAAAACGACCCGTTGTATACTTAGATGAGACCTATATACACAATACTTATCATACAAAAAGTTGTTGGCAGAGTGAGGAGGAGCCAGGAATGTTCGTCTCAGTCATCAGGGAGTCGCTGGATAATCGCTCATGCGGGAACAAAAGATGGATTCATAAATGGTGCATTATTAATGTTTAAATCCCAATCAAAGTCCTCAGATTACCACGATGACATGAACTCTGCAAATTTCTTAAAATGGGTGACGGAAAAATTAATACCTAATCTATCTGAAAGGTCGCTTGTGGTAATGGACAACGCTCCTTACCATTGCACTCAATTAAACAAAGCCCCTTCAATGTCAAATATAAAAAGTAGTATGCAGGAATGGCTCCGGCAAAAGGGTATATATTTTGAAGACACCTGGAGAAAAGCTGTGCTGTTTGAGCTAATCAAACAAAATAAAGGTCCACCGACATTTGCAGTGGAAGAATTATTAACAGCTCACGGACACGAAGTATTAAGGTTGCCGCCTTACCATTGCGACCTAAACCCGGTGGAGAAAGTCTGGAGCCTTGTAAAAAGAAAGGTGGCGGATAAGAATGTGGAACAAGATCCAAAAGAAATTGTAAAATTAACTGTAGAGGCATTTGAGTCTATTACGGCGGAAGATTGGACAGCTCAGTGCACGCATGTCGAACATTTAGAGGAGGAATATTTAAAAAATGACGGCCTTATGGATGAAGAGATGGACCGAATAATTATATCTACGGCTAGTGATACTGAAACAGAATCTGATTCAGTTTCCAGCCACTCTTCAGACAGTGATGTTCCTATGGCCACTGATCACAATTATTCAATAAAACTCTGAATAAAAAATTGTAATGCTTTGCTTTACCCTATTTTCTCATCTTTTCCCTGTAAGTAGGGAGAACACCGCTTATAAAAGTAAATAAAAATATACTTTTTACATAACAGAAATATAGTAAATTATGTAAATGGACAATTTTATCAAAATTTATGTTTAAATAAACTTAAACTAGGAAATGTGACATCCCACGTTTCCCAGTACTGATCATGACCAAAAATCGTCTGCTTTTATTGCTTTGTTTTTAGTTTCTCACCTAAACACTGAAACTATTTAATAATAACACGACACTTACATAGTCATAATAACGTTAGTTAATTGGACTTATTGCATGAGTCATCCCATGAGTAGGTTGGTAGACATTTTGATAAAAATGCCCAAATATACATTTCACTTATCAGAAATATACATGTTTCACTAATCTGAACTATTGTTATAGTATTGGCTTGAGTAATGAAATTACAGCCTATCTAAAATGTATTTATTTCTTAATACAATTTAATAGTTTCGTCGAAGTCTGCAGGAAATAATATTATTTGATAAATTACATATGCTAAATGTAAAATAGGTAAATTTTTACTCATAAATGGCAACACTATGTCACGCGAGTACAGCGCTGCGTCTGGGGGACTTCTTTCATGAAAAGGACTCTAGGTACCTATATAAACTCTATCCTAAAAGCACTCAAAGACTCAAACTGATATGCCGTCGGCAGTATGTTATTACAGGGTCACACAGAAGAGTACATTAATTAAACTGAACTGAGTTCTCGTCCGTTGGCAATATAGTATATAGTTGTATCAATTACTGATACAATGTGAGACAGGTCATAGCACAGGTATATAAAAGTTATAAAAGTGCTCTTTGAGTTTGATGTGAATGTGACAGAAGGAACGTAGCATTGAAACTGATTTTTGTGATACCAAAACCAATTACCACATTGCTTTTTTGGCGTATTCATTGAAAACCGCCAAAAAAGAAAAGAAGAAGAAGAACCAATTACCATTCATCTTTATTTACAAAATGCATTATTACTACTGGACGTAATAGTTTTTAAGACGTCGTGTTTATATCGTATATACCAGCAAACGTAATTAATTCTAAATGGTTCGGTAGAAACTGAGTGAATATGTTATCAGTCATTCCCCTTATCCTTGTACAGCTAATCGCATGTAAAGGAGAAGAAAATACAACTATACGTCAAGGTAATTTTAAAGAAAAATAGAAATGAAACGGCCAATTTAAATAATTATAAAATAATTTATTTCTTTCAGAAGAGTTCAAATGTTCATTGCCTGATGTAACCAGTACAGACGATAATCTCGACATTACTAGATTTAGAGCAGATTTTTCTAAAATATCTGAGGTATTTTATAATAAATCCAATTAAAAAAAAAATTATATCCCTTAAAACAAGTTGTCATTTTATTTTTCAGGTAAAATTTCCAGGTTTAATTGGTCCATTAAATGAACGATTAATATGCAAAATTAAATGCATTGATGGTAATTGGGTTGGTCCCTTATGCTCTTCTACACCAGGTATTAACTGTATAGAATATATTTATTAGGGTTAGAATGTTTACTTTAGGTAAATGATATTATTTCAGATGGAAGGTTTCAACCAATCCTACGTGAATGTTTCTATAGCAATGACTATAAGTTATTATCAATTTCATTTAAGAATTCATCAATTGAGGTAACACCCTTTAGTATTTTTACTTTATTTCTTCCCTTAATTTTTTCTATAAATAAAGCTAGGTATGTATAAAGGAAGTACCTACTTTGTGAAAAAGACAATTTATCCATGAAATTCTTAATAACAGAAAGAAACTTACTTTCCTCATGGTTCAGTCATACTATCCAAGTGTAAGCATTTTGGGTTATACAAATTGAAAGGTGAAGGTCAAGTGCGTTGTGAAAATGGAGAATGGAGCCCAAAGTTTCCTGAATGTGTTCCAACAACATTGATCACAAATTTCACAGGTAATTATATAAGTTTGTAAAAATATTATTTATGCAAGATTATTCCAACAAGACTTTTATCAGGTTAAAAACATTACACGTTGAAAGCATTAATTGTGACTAGATAAGGCATATTAATGAGTTACTCTTGACAATAACCTACAATCTGCAGTTGAAGATTCAAATTCCAATAGAATTTTCTTTTTATGCAAAAATCAAGCCCTAAATTTTGTGCACATGTTAGCTCAGCAAAAAATTCAATTATAATAAAGTCCACTGAATCATAAGCAGCACTAGTTGCTTCTGGTCACAACTTTGGGATAAAACAAAGATTAAGTATGATATTAATTATAATGTAATTATATATTATACTTTATAAACTTAACAACAGTCATTTATTTCTTATTCCAGGCGATGCACCACCATCAATACAATATGTTGTTGTAAGTGGATCAGCAGTAGTAGAGCCTTCAGGAGAGCTATTTGTGTATCCAGAAAGTACATTATGGCTTGATTGCATTGCCCCTCGTATCCTAGGTGACCCTGAATGGAGTTGGACTCAAGCTTTGGGACAGCATAGTGCTGGTATGTTTACACAATATTTCGTATATATATTTCATGTATATAAAAAGTTTTTGTTTGTGTTAATGTAACCTTTCATAATAATATACTCTTATTACTATTTCCATTTGCTTAGACTTAAAGTTTTTCTAAAGTTTATGCCCAAAAGTTAATTTAAACAATTGGATAAAATTTGTCTGGAGTGATATGAGAATAAACTAATTTCGATATATATATTTATTTTATTAAGCCATTATTGCTGAAGAACTAAACACAGTACAATCTAAAAGTATTAAAAAACTTAAACCTAACACAACGGGTTTTCCGGTTTAGTGATCAGCGTGTCCTGTGACACATAGACCTCTTCCAGCTGTTTCCATTCATTTCTGTCTCTAGCTTTTCTAGACCAGGAAGCACCTCCGATATTTCTTATGTCGTCTATCCATCTTTTTGCCTGTCTTCCCCTTTTCCGTTTTCCATCGCGTGGTTGCCACTCGGTTATAATTTTTGTCCATTTTAACTTACTATCTCTCGTCATGTGTCCTGTCCATCTCCACTTCAACTGTCTTACTTTTCTTATTATATCTTCTACTTTGGTACTGGATCGTATTTCAACTACTCTTAAGCGATCTTTTTTAGTGACACCAATCAAACTTCTTTCCATTCCTCGCTGACATGATCTCAATTTTAGAAGATGTTTTTGATTTAGGGCCCACGTTTGGCTCCCATACGTCAAGCAAGGTAAGACGCACGAATTGAGGACTTTTTTTTAGCTGCCATGGAAAAGTATTTGCTTTTGAGTATCTCCTTGAGTGACCAATATCTTTTCCATGCACAAGCAACTCTTCTTTCGATTTCCATGTCCGTTTGATCTCTGAATGATATTAACTGTCCCAGGTATATGTAGCTCTTCAAGTATTCAATGCTTTCGCCATCCTTTTGCTTTTGCTTTTGCTTTTGTCCACTGTGATGGTATAGATTCAGTTCTTAAGATGGTATTATATATTTCTGTGAGTTTTCTTAAGTTTTCAGGTGCCATGATTGAAAATTTCAACATCTCGTTCGTTATTTGATCTCGCCCAGGTGATTTGTCGCTCTTTAGATTGCGAACAGCTTTTTCTATTTCTGATTGTAGAAAAACTGGAATATCCTCACTTTCGTCGTCTTCTAGATTTGTAAATTGAGTCTGCATTATGTGGTCCGCTGCGTAGAGTGACCTGTAAAAGACTGTTGCGATTTGCATTATAGTCCTTCTTATGGTCTCCTGCTTTCCTGCTTTATTCTTAATGTTTGGTATCCAATGTTTTGACTCCATCAGCTCTTTTAAGGCTTTTTTAACTCCTCCTGACCTTTTTATGTGATTGTTGAGTAAGTCTAATCTTCTTTTCACTCTTTCCTTCTTAATACTTTTACTTATTTTTTTACTTACTTCTGAAATAGCTCTTAAATTATGTTTATCTTTTTTATTTTTTAAAAGCTGTCTTCTTTCTTCTATTAGGATTTTGGTTTCATTTTCGGTATAACATGCCTTAGGTTTTGCCAATTGAGCGTATAGTGATCCATAAATTTCATTTATTCCTTTTTCGTATCTTTCGTCTGTTTCGTTGTTTGCTTCATTTGGATGTCTGCTTATATTCTTTCTTGCATTAAATTTATTTCTGGCTTTTTTCGGCTCTGTACTATTTATTATTGCTCTGACCATTCTATGGTTAGTGTTAAAATCCAGTTGTTTAATAATACTTACATTATAGAAAGCTTTTCTATTATTAGTTGCTATATAATCTATTTAATTTCTAAATGTTCCATCTGGTGATAGCCATGTTCACTTTTTCTTTTTCTTTTTATTTTTATTGAAAAAGCTATTCATAAATGCAAAATTATTTTCAAAGGCCATATTGATCATTCTTTTGCCATTGTTGCTTCTTTTGCCAAAACCAAATTTGCCAATTACATTTTCTTCTCCAGTTTGTTGAGAGCCAATTCTGCCATTAAAATCCCCTATCAACATTACGTTCTTGTGCGATTGCTTTAGGACCGATGTTAGCTGTTCATAGAAGAGGTCTTTGGCAGATTCCTCATATTGTTCTGTCGGGGCGTAAATTTGGATAATCGACCATTTCTTTTTGTACGATGGTAGATTCAGTTTAAGATCAGCTATTCTCTCTGATATTCCCTTGAATTCTTCTATTCTTCCTTCTAAATGTTTTTTTACCATGAATCCTACACCGTAGTTACCTTTTGTTTCGCCTTTGTAGTATAAAATATACCCCTTGCGGTCCTCTATACATTCTCCCAATCTCCTTACTTCGCTTAATCCTAACACGTCCCAGTTGCTAGTTCTAATTCAGTAAGAGTTTCTTCAGTACGCAAGGTTAAACAGTTTAAGGTGGCAATATAAAGTTTACTTTTTTCCTTTGTTCTGATACTAATGTAATTTTTCTTTAACAATTGTGCTGGAAGGGGTTGGTCATATTCCCCCACGGGGACCAGCCGGCTTGGGGGAGGTGTATTAGTTTTAGTTGTATCGTTGCATAATATTTGTTTATTTGTTCTGAATTTCCGGTTACCGACGTATGTTAGTGGCTATTCTTTATTTAGGTCTGATGATGAGTAAGACCTGTTTCTTAACATGCGTTCGAATGCATTTACTTTATTAATTTTAGGTCTGACATTATCTTTTGTTAATTTTGGTGAAACAGATTGTTCTCTCTTCCTTTTATCACGAAGACTAGTTTGTCGTATTTTAAAAAAGCTAAATGTCCCTTTTTTCTTTCTTCTTTTAACTGGGGTATGAGTTCTCTCCGCTTTTCCAAAACTTCTTTTGCTGAAGTCTTCATTCACAAAAATATTTTTAGGTAATCTTTTCTTGTTCTTCAGGATTTTAATTTTCTTCCACACATTTAACATGTTCACTAGAACCGGGCGTGCTTCTCCTTTCTCTTTGCCTAGTCTAAAAGCTGTTAAAAGTTGATATCCCGATTGTGTACCTCAATGCCAGAATCATTTAGAGTTTTTACTACCATTTCGATTACGTTACTATTTTCTTTCGTGGGTTCCTCAAAGCCATAAAATATTAAATTGTTTTCTAGACGTTTTTTCCTCTCGTTTAATTTTATAACTTCATTTTTTAGAAATAGGTTATCTTCCACGAATGGTTTCAATTTCTCATCTATCTCTTCTCTAATAGAATTTTTGAGAGTAGTTGTTTGCTTGTCCATTTCTATTTTTAATTTTGTAAACAATAGTTGCAATGTATATATATATATATATACATATATATATATATAAATATAAATATAAATTTTTTCAGCATTTAAATATGTGTCTGACATAACTTATATAATTACTGGTTTCGCGTCATGATGCAACAGCATCTATACTAAAGTAGTATAATTGGAATTGCAGACTGCAGTGATATCTCCCTTTGTGGCACATGCAATTGATTGTGATTGTTAGATTGTTTGTTTTAAACATTGCCCTTACTTTAGGCTAACTTTATCCTGTGTTGTAAGGACGTTTTACAAACATAAATTTATGCCAGATGCGAAACAACTATCTGTGGGTCACACAAATAGTTGTCCCGCGTGGGAATCGAACCCACGACCCCCGACGCCGAAGCCAATACCTTGGCCACTGCGCCACGGAGCCATCTTTTTATGTTATCAATTATGTTTACTGAATGGTCTGAAAAAACTATCATGTCAGTATATCAGTATTTTAAAATTGCATTATTTTTTTATTAACATTATGTATTTATTTATATTAATTTAAAAGTACCTTTGGTTAAGAAGGTACCCCTGCAATTTAATATTGTCCATGTAAAAGTTATATGTTTGTATGTTTTTTCTATATGCTTCTTGTAAAATCTGTTGGATTTTGATGAAACTTTCGGAATTTGTTCTCCTTACGCCTGCAAATGTTCCTGCACATAAACAAATTCATTCTTGTTTATCCTCTATAAAATTCCGAACAAAAATACAAAGGTAAAACAAAATGCAATTTTAAAATTTAACTTTACACAAATTGAAAAAAGAATAATCATTTAATTGTTAACTAATATTACTGCACAATAGACAAGTTCGTAAATGAAAATTATAGTTGATCAATTATTTGTTTTGGTACATGTTTATGGAACTTTGGAAATTTATCAGTAATTTATTAGAATTTCTTAAATTATGATTGTTATAATAGATAATACTTATATTTCTAAACAGTAGTCGCCATAGCAAACTTGTATATCTTATCCTTTAAAGGAGCAATTCTTGTATATATATATATATATATATATATATATATATATATATATATATATATATATATACAGCGTGTCGTTACCATCGCGACAATAAATGAACACACGTCTAACGCTACTTGCCAATAATCATAAAAAAATGTTAACGTTAAAAAAATCCATAATTAAAAAAATATATTTTTCAAACAAACTAATTAAGTAAAAAAGAAACAAAATTTCTAACATCCTATACAACTCGCGCCACAGCGTCGTATTACAAGCCTCTTCTTCTAACAGTATGTTTTGTCTCTTTTAAATTCATTCAACCCATTCATATGCTTTGTGACCTTTACAAATGAACTTTACGTTACGTTTTAGCTTGGGCCAAAAATGATGGCGAAAAGGAAACTCATTTTCGACTGACTTTGATCAAGATGTCAGCACGCCACAGTGACCAATATACCTGCGCCTCACCCGGAGGTCACACTAATACCATCACCATTAAAGTTGTTAGTGAGTTTTGTTGTTACGAAATAAAGCTAGTCATTAAAATTACATGGTACTAATTTGATTAGTATTTTACTGTTACAAATAGCAAATATTTTAAAAGAACAAATAAAGTTAAATTATAAATAACTATGTATATTTATACATAATATTCCTCATTTACTTTTACTGTACTACATTTAATTTTTACCAGGTATGGTATGTCCGCCAATAAATGTATCTTCACCTCGTATTCGCCAATTTTCGCAAGGCTGGAAACTGGGACACTCTGTTCACTTTAGTTGTCATCCAGGTTTTCATCTGAATGGTTCAGCAATACTTACCTGTATGGGCAGTGGTATGTCTGGTTTGATTTATAGTTTAATTTTATTTCTTTGTTTTGCACTAAGCACTAGCGAAATAGCATTGACTTTTGGTAATGAATATAAAATTATATTAACTATTATATATTTCACATGTTAAAAATCAAGGTGAATAATTATTTCTTACTATATTATATTTAATGCAGAGGTGCATTTCAAGTCACGATGTTATCTTATAGGTCGTTGGTCGACATTACCACCGACTTGCATAGAGACCTTCTGCCCGATGTTGAAGACCCTAGGGCCACAACTAAGTGTAGTGGAATATAACTCATCATATGGAGGGCGAGCAGTGTTCCAATGTGCATGGGGTTACAGACTAGTGGGTGCTCCTGGGCTTGAGTGTGAACTTGACGGTCGATGGTCAGGCGATATACCACACTGCATACGTAAGCTTTGTATTGAATTTATTTTTTGTGTTCTTTGTTGAAAATGAGTGTGCAGCACACTTGACAATAAGTGGTTACAGAAGGAGTTGCAGTGTTAATTTGTAAATGAAATTAGAATCTGCTTGGTTTTTTTTTCAATTAGTAATGTACTTGGCAGTCTTTTCCATCAATGTCTTGATACATTAAGTTCAATAGTAATTTTAGTACTCATTATTTTCCTATGATGGTGGCTTAAAGGTGCCATAAAATGTATTAATAAATATAATTGTACTTTTATGTTTAGTTTATTTACATATCATGTGTATATAAGTATTATGTTATGGTTAACTTCATGACTTTCAATCATGACGCTCATTTGTAACTTCAAGTAGTTCATTCACAACATACAGTTGACCTTAAAAATTATTCATTGTAGCTATCTACTGTCCGAATCCAATAGTACCAGAAAAAGCGTCACTGCTTACTGAAGCTACAGCTAAAAATGGAAAATATGCAGTTGGCGATTTAATAATATATGGTTGTGACGAGGGGTACCAAGTCATGGGTGAATCTTCCATTGTGTGTACTGAAAACGGATTCTGGTCTCATCCACCTCCATTTTGTCTACTACCTTCAGAAATTAGGAAGCCAGATACCATTTATATAGAAAATACAACACTCGTGTATTTCGAGGACTAAAGGTAATAATTTAAAAATAGTTGTATTCTTTTTTTTTATTTGTAACATTTGTGTTTTAATCCAATCTTTTTTAACTTCCAGTCAAAAAGTACCAAACTAAGCTGCAAAGGTCTATAGATGACTGTACTACATCTTCAAACTGGGCAAATAAAGCATTGAAATCATACTATGTACGTAGTATATTTGACGTGTAGTGAAAAGTGAAAATCAAATATTTACCACAAATTATTTCGAATAAATCAGAGTATATTTTGTAATCAATTATTTAGTAGTATCATTGAAGTTTGTAATTTGTTGTTATGTTTGGCATATGGTAAATAACATTAAATTTATTAAAGGTGTAAATGTTCAGCAAATTGACGAGCGCATTCTGCAATTAAAAAAATTAAGCGATAGAGAAAATCACTAATGAATTAATCAAAAAGCAGAATTCTCCCGTGGTTATTGCTAGTACTAGTAGTGTAGTGTGTTAGTATTGTTTTAAAATGTTTAGTTCTAATAGAGCTTTTTGAAGTCGGTTCTTTTTTTGTTAAAAAAAATGTTTAATTATTTTTAATACTTAGGTATTATAAAATATAGACCTTAAAACATGTAGAAAAAGTACGAAGATTGTCACCGCTGTGGGAATCGAACCCACCTCTTCAGCATTTGCGGCCTGACGCTCTAGCCACTAAGCTAAACGACTGATTGCCACACCGACGAAAATCTTAACGCCTTTCTTCTACATTATTATTCAGCATTTGAAGCAATGCTTGGCGCATCTATTGTTATATGGTTATGGTTGAAGATAGACAGTCCGACTTCCAGCACCCTACGCCCGCGCGTCAGTTATGGGTGATCCCCACGCCGCAGATTTTGCATTGAGATCCCTAGCGACTAGTACATGGTAGGGATTCAGTTGCCGGAGCATTGCCCCAGTCTGTCAAGGTAGCTCTCAAATTCGGCCAGCGTTCTATTGGGAAAAAAGTACACCGAGACGACGAAAATCTCTCCCAACAGAGCTGCCACGAAGCCCTGACCTTTTCTCACGTTACTGAGAGGAGGAGAACCCATAGCGGTCGTGCAAACCATCGCCACAGTGCCAGAGTGATCCCCAGCCCAGTTTTCGCTAGGGGGGATGAAGTACGGCTCTGACGCCAGGGCAACCTGAATCATCCACTGTGCCATGCTTTGCAGTAGAAGGTCCTGCGCTCTGGCACAGTGATTGAGGTTCGCCTGCAAGACAATTTGGGTGGCCATAAAATACTGAATAGACTTTGGAGTCCCCTCCTCCCTGGCATCGTCGACATGGCGGTGGTATGTTTGTGACTGGACTAGTGCTCTAGTGACACTGTTGACAGTTCTCCGTCGCCTAATCTGCTCTAGCTTGTTCGCCATGCAAGTTCTGCCTGAGTGGCCAGCGGGCTTATTCGATGCGGCACACACTAGACAATAGGGGGCCGCGGAGCACTGACTAGAAGTGTGACCCAGCTTTCCGCAACGTAAGCACGTGCTGTTGCGGTCGACCGTCGCAGTGCACTGTTCCCGAACGTGTCCTGTTTCCAGGCACCGGTAGCATCGCAGAGGTATTCGCGGCAGCAGCTTGACCCGCACCGAGGACCAGGCGATTAGGAGACGGCCGGTTTCTGCAATCTTTCCGGCCGCACCAACGGGGCAACTAACCAATACCTTGTCCAGTCCAGATCGGTCCCGGCGAATTGGTTCACCTTGATTGAGGCTGTTTGGCACTCGCCAGCCCGTGTTATAACTTCAGCAACCTCAACTTTTTTCACGGAGTCATTCAGGCCTGAGATGCGTAAATCTGCGCATTTTTCTGGCTTGGAAACTGTGGCGATCTCTTGACTGACCACCTGACAATGCTTTTCAGCTAACAAGCTGTTTTTGCGATTAGAAGGGTTAGGCTAAACGCTAAACGTCTGTAAGCTAACAGACGTCGACACTGCCAGACTTGTTTACTTTAGTTATTTTCACAGCATCTTGTCGTACTGCATTTTGTTGTGGGGTAGTGCATCAGATATAAATTCGATATTTATTCTTCAAAAAAGAGCTGTTCGAGCAATCTACAATATCGGAGCCAGGAATTCACTCAGAGATCTTTTCAAAGAGGTTAATATACTCACTGTTGCAGAGATCTTTTCAAAGAGGTTAATATACTCACTGTTGCTTCTCAATACATTTATTGTAATATTTTGTATATACGTCATAACCTTAATTATTACCTAAAGAATAGTGACAGACATAAAATAAACACTAGAAATAAGGACAAACTTACTACACCATTGTTTCGTCTACAAAATGTAAATAGGTCGTTCATGGGGCAAAGTGTGCGCATGTATAATAAAATCCCACAGTCGATATTAAGTCTGCCGCTTGACCAATTTAAATGTAAAATTAAAAATCAACTAATGATTAAAGCATATTATACCATTTCGGAATATCTCGACGACGCCAATGTGTGGAGTTAATACTGTTGTGAGTTGATACTCACGTAGGCTAGAATAAGACTATTATACCTGTATATTATATTGTACCCTGATATTTTTGAAAAAGAGCAACTGTTGAGTTTCTTGCCGGTCTCTTCTCAACAGAAACTGCTTTCCGAACCGGTGGTACCTTATGAACCTATAATATCATAACATAATGTTTGATGTAAAATTTGACGATTCATAAGAGCGCGCAAGCGTGTATTTGAATAAATATATTTTTGATTTTTAGCCTTATCGCCACCGGTGACTCCCGACACCTCCAAAATCCGAGCTCCTGTTGCGGCCTTTCTAAACCGGATGGCCTGAATCCCAAGTGCTTCCAGGTCCATGTTTTTTTGGCCTCTTTAAGGATGCCGGCATAGGTGACTCCTTTTTCCGCTGCATCGGCTGCATGCGGCTGTAGCTTTATTACTACAGCGGACGAGCAAGGGGCCGCAGCTTCGGCATCCTTTGCCGTTGTTTCGGTTTTTATGCCTGTCCGGCTACTGTACAGTTAGTCCGAGGTTTGCTACGATGAGTCACCACAGTCCACTCGTTCGTGAGTGCTCTCTGATCATTGCTGGCCAGAGTATCCCGTTTCTCTCTCCTTTCCTGTTGTGTTTGCACCTCTTGCTGTATTTACATGTGTGAGAGACCCGGGTTTCGAGACTGAGTCAGTCGCCGGTTTGGTGGGGCTTACCGTTGCCCGAGGAGTCACTTTGACCGCGCACGACACATTTATGCGACTGACTATCGCCAGAGCGGGACGAAGTCCCTTTTCAGGCAGTAACCTGTCATCCAAGCCCGCAAACCGAGCATTGATCATGGTTCCTACGACCTCAATTATCGACCGTCGCATGAACTCTGGGTCTTGAAAAGTGCTTGACGTGGATGGAACCGCTGTCTCGTCCGGTGTCGACCCTGTGTGTGGTGGAGGTCAGCACGTATAGCGGACCACTCGCTACGGAGCTCTGCCACCTCTGCTTTAAGATGTTTATTGTCCGCAGCCTGCTTTTTGGTCTCCTCCGAGACCGTGGCTTTACTGAGTACATCCACGGCGTCGCTTATTGTTCTGGCTGCATCTCTAAGGACCTTAACAAAGGTGCCCTTAAGGTGGGAGGACTTGGAGGCCACGTGTGTGATAACAGTTACCTGCTGGAGCACTTACTCCTGCAGGTCATCCGTCAAAGATAAGTGTTGTCCCCCCGTGTCTGCAGAGGCCTGTTTCAGATCACGTGCTTTACGCACAGGTTCCACTGCATCTTGTTCAACCTGGAGCTCTCAAGCCGTACGCTTCGGATTGACTATGGCACCTTTGCTCTTTTTCTTGAATAGGTCAATACCAGTCGTATGCTTTCCGTCAGTAATATTCTCATCGCTGTTCTGGGCAGCGGATACTTGCATTGCAATATTGCTTGATATTGCAACTCTCGTTGTCTGACCCTGATTAGTTACCCTTTTTCTTTCGGTTTCCTACCTGAGTATCAGTTCTCTTAAGGAACCGACCCTGCTTGTCCCTCACCAGTACAGGGGACGAAGTGCGCCCCCAACTGCTTCTCCCAGCTAACACTTTTTGTGCCGACTGCTCGTCGCCACTCGACAATCCACTGAGGTTCGGGTCATCGGCGCTTTCGAACGTCCTTAAAAAACTTTGATGGTTCGTCTTCTGCCATCCGACTCGTCTCTCTAGCAGATGCAGACCTCCTCCGGTCCACGCACATTTCGTCAGCCAATTCACTAAGCATAACATTGTCCGTTTCCTTGTCGTTATCGTTATTAGGTTTCAATAAATTCTCCATTTGATTCCCACGCGTATTAGGTAAATAAAAAGTCCGCCGGGCCAGTGACCCTGGGTGTCGGGAGGTACCCAGGGTAGCGCCTGTGACTGGTTTGTTGGTGCAGCCGCTCTTGCAGTGTACCGAGATCACCCGGTGTCAGCAAAAGCCGTGTGCACTTGGCAAACACACCGCGTGAGTCAAGGAACAGGAGAAAAGGACTCACTGAACGCCCCCCCAGCCAGTTTTGGTCCGCCTTGGTTTCCCGGTATCACCCAAATTTGGATGATACTCCCCCATCCGCCAACTGGGGACGCGCCGGATGGGAGATCTGGCAACTCCTCACGGGCCTAGGCCCGAGCCTATTGAGCCTTGGGAGAAATCTGCCACTGAGTCGCACGTTTCTTGACAAGACAAAATACACTATTGAGTGTAGTTCAATATAAATTTTCGTTGACGTCTTAAATGTCGACGATCCGTCAATGACAGTTTAATAGGACGTGTAAAATGTTCTTTTAAATTATTTAAAATATATTTATAATTTGAAGGAAGTTTCGAATTCCAGAACTTTATTTGAAAAACTAACGAAATTTCGACTATAAAAGGGGCTCAGAGCGTCTTAGACAGCAGTTTAGTGGCGGAACTGAGAGGTAGAAGAAACAGGAAGAAGAAAGTTGAAAGTGAAGTAATAGTAAGTGAATAGTATAATGGACAGTATAGTAATGAACAGTGACGCGAAGTGGCTAGTAGAGTAAAGTCGTATGCGGTGGGTTGGTGGAGTAACGTGTGGATCTTTGCCTCAGTGGAGATTAATGCGAGAGAGAGCGCACCGGCAGTCGTGTCACTGTAAATTTGGTGCGGAACGGGAGAGTCATTGGAAGTTGTAGGGACTAGAACACTATTGACAGGTTAATTGTGTACAACAGTACAGTTTGCGACAATAAAGGTAGTAGACATAAAAGGTGGTAGTAGTAAGGACTAGAACGATATTATGAGGGCTGCTGTGCACATCTTTGTTGGCGAGAATAAAGTAAACACATCTAAACCACCGGCTTTCACTCCAATCCCAAAACTCCAGCTCGTAACAGTATACTAAAATGGCACTTGCTTGTGATGTGAAACTCTTGAGGTTTTCTTCTCTGAAACTTTTGAGACATTTTTGTTCGGATATTATTTTTGCACTCAAATACGTTTTATCATCATTGAGAGCATGTGTGACGCGCGTACGTCTGCAATCACGTCAAATATTACTCATATTGCCCTCATTCCTCAGTTAGTGATACTTTCGCTTAATTGTGTCGTCAGGTTACGCCCACATGCCACTTGTTTCATCTGCGAACCCTTTGCCAATTTTTTCAGTTTGGCTGTCTTTCGATGAGCTATTACAATCATTCCCCTTTTGGGTAATTTTTCTTGTATTCATACTAGTAGTTACCATGCTGCCAACTTTCTCAGTTTGTCAGCTTTTTAAATTTTTCATGTTAATAACTTCATTTTGCCAACAATAGAATTTATAGCTAAAGGTGTCTCATATCGCCAACCTTTTCTACAATCGATAACAAAAGCAGTTTCGCTTTGGTAGTGTCTCTTTTAATAATTAAGACATCTACCTCTACTTTTTGACTGAATAATTAAAAACTGATAATTTTCTCTTATGATTTTGTTTTATTCTAAATTTAGTATTTTTTTATACAATTTGTGATTATAATAATTCTTTTATTACTGAATGACTATGATTTGTATTTACGAACCAATGAGTGTAACCTACGTTTTTAACAAAGGCAAGAAAAAATTGAATCCGTTGGGTGTTCGCTTATGGACACACATTGCTTCGCATAGTAAAATTGTGTTAACGAAACTTTCGACCATAGATTAACAATAGCGACTGAGTTGGCTGCGTTTAACGCCTTTAAAGAAAATTATCCCGCAAAAATACAAAAACAACAGCAACAAAAAAAGAATCAAAATAGTTAAGTATTTACCAAATTTATTAATAGTTAAGTAATACACCAGCAGAAAAAAATACCATAGGATGTATGAATGTATAATCTTTCACTGTACATTCTAATTAATTAATTTAAAAAAGTAGTAAATTCAAGTAGGAAGTTTAGCAAATTGGGACAAATTTGTTAATTGTTTTATAAAACAATGGATGAATGAAAATGATCAATTACATTTCGTGCTATGGAATCAAGTACCTAAATCCACCCACGCTCCACCAGCGCTATGTTCAATTGAAAATACCACCAGAAAGCTGGTATTTTCAATCGAACATAGAGATTGCGTACAAGTATCCAGAAATTTGCGTATTTAAAAAAAAAGACAGTTGCACATGAAAGAATAACAACAATCACAACAATATTTGTTAGGAAAATAGTATGTATTTATTTAGTTTAGTGTACCTATATTTTTCTATGTGAGAAGATGGTGACTCACTTGATGAGATAATCGCTGCCCTCCGACATTTGCATAGGGTTGAAAATGCTTAGCCACCTTTTAATAAACTGGGCCCCGACTACCTCACTCGCCAGACGAAACACAGAAATATAACACTTTCACTTCCGCCAGTGAGATCGGTCGTATCGCTTTTTCTGAGAACCGTATCTGAATCAGATTTTGATTTCACCTTAAATTCATAAAAAAAAGTGAGTGACAATATTTTTATTAATTAATAACATTCAATATTATAGTTTAGGGCGGAAGAATTTAAAATATACACACAAGATATAAGCCTTGGCCTGACGTCCACCAATGCAGCACGGAATTATTAAATTATATTTTTATTTTTCGTTTTGTGTAGTTTTTTTTTTCAAAAAAAATTCCTAAGTTGGCATCGCTTTCTATTACGTGCTTAAGTATCGAATAAAATTTAACTCCTAAAAATTTTTCTTCCTTAATTTAGGAAAAAAATTCCTAAGTTGGCATCGCTTTCTATTACGTGCTTAAGTATCAATGCACTCCAGGTCAACGCTAAACAAAATTTAAAGACATCGTTAATACCATGATTCGTACTTAAATGAAACAGAGTTTTTTGTTCATGCTTTTAAAATTCAAGATTGCTTAACTTATTTATAAAATCTGTTTGAAAATCTGATATTGTTGCCGTACTGCTCTAACTAGTGAATATTTGTATCTCACGCGCTTTGTCTAAAAATCCGATATTATGGTAATAATTTAAATGAAACGCATCTTATTTGCATGCACTTAAGATTCAAAATTACTTAACTTATTCATAAAATCTGTTTAAAAATCTGATATTGTTGCCATACTGCTTTAACTAGTGTCTATTGTACCTACATAATAGGTATATTTATTTTGTAATATCTATGGTCAAGTAGTTCGATGACCGAGCGCAATCGATTTTTGATTAATGTTTTATATTATTTCTAGTTAGTGTATAAACAGTTTTAATTTTTTTATCTAATGTTATCCATAAATATTTAAACAACGATGGGTATATTTACCAAAGTACTTATCGTGATTTTTATAACAATAAATTTGTCCCAATGTTATTGTGAACGTGCGTATGATAATTCTTTTAAATGGCCAACTGTTGCCGTTTCTGTTCTCGTTAGAAATAAGGCTCATACTTTACCATATTTTTTCTCAAGTCTCTTAAATCTGGATTACCCCAAAGATAGATTACATATTTGGTAAGCAAAATTGTACATACTTACACGAATGAAAAAACTAATTTTCCGTTATTTATTTTTTTATTCATATTTTATCTCTGGATCAACAAGCACCTAATGAAAATGTATACATTTGCATAAATTTGATTTTAAATTCTCAATATTTGAAACCTTTATTGAGCATTTAATATTATTTATATTTAATATTTTTATAATGTGATTACTTAATTCATGATAATAATTATTCTATAAAAAATCTGCTATCAATAGATATTTAAACAAGTTGCCTTATTTCGGATAGTAATGAAATACAATAAATCCAATAAAACAATTTTAGCGAGAACCAGATATAGTATTATTAATATTTTGGAGCAGTACCCATATAGGCAAACAGTAGTTGGTATAACAAAAAGTTTTAAATTTTAAATCAATCACAATATGACCTTGCATTGCCCTAAAACTTTTGTTCAACATAAAACTTGTTCAGTTGTAAAAATTATTTAGAACAATGTTAATAAAATACATAACCTAAACTTAGTGAAAAATTTGTAGAAAAAAACTTAAGTGCTTAAATTAGGGCTATAAAAAAATTCATTAATGTTAATATAAACGCCTATGCCAGTTTTAATACATGTGCAAATGTTTGCCACTAAAGGAAAGTACAGAATAGAGGCATTGTAAGAATTTTAGAAAAACATTTAATAATTATAAATAGTATTAAATAGGAACAATATCTTTTTGTTGGTAAAAATTTCAATTCAAAGAAGCTTCAAGTTTCTGTTTGTTATGTGCAGGGAGCCCCTCCAATATAAATTATCTAGGAATTTACAGCAAACAAACATCTGTCAGTTCTCTGATTTCTCTATGCTGTGTTTGTTACCATGTCATTATAGATATATATTACTATATACAGTTATTTGGGTATTTGATATAATGATCAGGTTAACCATCTTGATCATCTACAAAGTCATTGTTATTTCTTTGTGTTCTTTTGTTACTTCTAGGCTGTTCAGTAAGGGTTGCCAACCATACTTTATAATAATGTAATTTACTTTATTTTTGGTAAAGATACTTTACACTTTTACATAAAAATAAAGTATGTGAAAATACTCTATTTTCAATATTTACTATGATGCATAAAATAAAACACAACACACACCTATAACTACTGAACTTTCGATACTCTTAATTTAAAACCGAACACTTTCAAATTGGAAGCTGCTGTTAATAAAATATTTAATAAAAACATTTTTTTTCCCTAAATAGTCCTTTCCCTTATTATTATTTTTATTTCAATTGGGAATGCAAAGATAACTTCTAAAAATTTGAGTATAGTGGAAAAACTGTGTGTGTTCTAGAAGCATACAAAAATATAAATTGTCACAGGATAGATAAAATTACTTAAACACCAATTATTTATTTGCCAGTTAAGTAGTTTTCCAGTCCAACTCGGATGGGCAGCATTCGGGAAACTTCAGCATATCTTCTCGTCTAATATCCCTCAATGTTTGAAGCCAAAGACAAATTGTGTTCTCAGTGTTGACCTACAGAACCAAAACGTGGTCCTTCACTGCTGGCTGTATGAGGAAGCCCAAAGTCGCTCAGCAAGCTATGGTGCGGGCTATGCTCGGTATTTCTCTGCATGATAGAGTTCGTAACGAAGACATCCGCAGTAGAAACAAGGTAACCGACATAGCTCAGAAGATTAGCAAGCTGAAGTGGCGATGTGCCGGCCATATAGGTAGTAGAATCGATAACCGTTAGTTCGTAAGGGAAGAAGAAGCCTCGTACTGGCGATGGGGGGAAACTAGTGGGGACTAGATGACGACCTGTGCAAATGTGCGTGAAGTTGATGGATGCAGGTGGCTCACAATCGTAATTTGTGGCAGTCCATGTTCAGCAGTGGACTCAAATAGGATGAAATGATGATGATGAAGTAATTTTGCCTTTCCAGTGACGAATTATCTTCAAAAGAAGAAATGAATAAAATTTTGAAAAATACATTCTTTCCAATACTTTTTTTTGTCCACTTGAAATATGTGATACTTTATTTTTCACAGAAACAGTTGGTAACCCTAGGTCCCTAATTTAAACATCTAAACATTCCCATATTTTATTTTATCAAGCCAGAGCTTAGAGATTAGGGCTAATGGATAACTGCGATGTTATATACGAGCAGGTTCTTAAATTTTTAAGGCAGTGGAATACTAAGTTCCTTTTATTTTAAGAAGCCCTATTTCTAGTCAATGCTAATGTAGCATTGACTAGAAATAGTGAGTAAGAGTATAATCTACAAAGGGATCATCTTTGTAGTTCTTCTGAGAGAAGAAGAGAGTACCTCCATCCGTGGACATCCAAACCCCTAAGGGTTTCAGATGCATTGACAAATATTTATAATTATTAATTATTACTTCATAAAATAAGTCAACTCATGAAACTCCTTTTCGAATTACAGTAATAGATAAATCTTCACCTGGGTACAGTGCAAAACATGACCCCCAATAGCTATCGGCTGAAATGTTATTATTCGCTCGGGCATGCTTGCCTTGTGTATGCGATATATTGCTTTTGACGTGTTCTTAGGCGAGCACGAAATTGGCTTTGCACTATACGTGGGTATAGTGTTGTAACACGACATCTCAGAACCTTCTTGTTGGGGTTCTAGATCAGCCCGATCTTCTTAGCAAACCAGTTTTTCTGCTTGCGAATGCCGTTTTACGATGGACTCATTCTAGACTTTGAACGCCTGGAGAAAAGCGCATTGAAAATACTTGCTTGCAACATGGATGAGCTAGCCTGGGGAAATTAAATTAAAAAATATATTATTGCTATTTTTATCGGGAAATGGCCTCCCCATTTCTCGATTTAGAAAACAGGGCCCTTTCTGGGGTAACTAAAATGTCAGGGACTTTTGATAATACAGTCTTTACATAACAAGAGGATCATCAGGGTAGGTTCGGACCCCGTGAGTTTAAGCACAGTCCAATGATCATCCTCCTACGTCAGGCGAACTAGATTACGCGTTTGCGAAATGCCGTATATATGATACGGTAAAATGTGTGTTTGGCCAAGTTTTATTCCCTTACCAACTGATTGGTCTGGTGGGAGGTAAAGCCCCCATTGACGGATATTTTTATCGTTCGGTTCGATTTCTCGAAGGCTGTAGTGTATTCAAATCCGTGACTAGAAAATTTCTTAATCGAATACTATTGCATAGGTAAGTTCACTGTTGTCCAGAGGTCCAAGGCCTCGAGTTTGATCCTGAAGTAATGTCAGCCTAAGATACGGTTTTGAACGGAAGGAAGTTACTAGCGTTCAGTATTGACCTGTGATCCAAGTTTAATTATGGATAGTCTCAATCGGTATAAGTGTTGAGGAAGTGAGTATAGAAACCAGTATCAGTATTAATTTCTCTTGTCCTAGGTGATTTGTATTGTTAAGGACTGAGTATCTGGAGACTACTGCATGATTCAGCCTGTTTGCAATTTAGGTCTTCAGCAAATTAATTTGTTACTAAATGAGTATACATTTATTTTATTCAGACAGTAATATTTATATTTATTCAATTGTTGCTTATTGCAAACATAATATTAGGATTTGTGTTACTCAGTTGAGTTCATTGTTCTGACTGCTTGGTGTCTGATTTTATGTCCTAACTAGTGACCCTCCTCAGCTTCTCACGGGTGCAATATATTATACATATGAATCGTCCTCTTGAATCACTCTATCTAGTAAAAAAAACCGCATCAAGTTCCGTTGTGTAGTTTCAAAGATCTAAGCATACATACAAACAGAGAGCGGGACGACTTTTGTTTTATACTATGTAGTGATGCACAGCAAAGAGATGTTTACATTTCAAGTGACATTTTACCACAGTCACTCACTTGTTTTGCCTTCCCGGAACCCCTCCACTAACACTTAAACTTTATGGCATGGTATTAAAGTTCAAATTGACTTCTATGTATTATTATGAATCTTTTGTACGAGAATATAGAAAAGTGTTTTTTTTTAGACTTTTTCAGGCAATTTTTTAAATTTTTCTTTCATAAGAACTTTCTCCTGATAATAACAAACACAACAAAAAAAATGAGAAATCTGTCCAGCCGTTCACGCGTGATGGCGTGACCAAGGGAAATAGGGATTCATTTTTATATATATAGATAAGGGACTGAATCCAGTGGGGAGAGTTAGCAGGTGGTGAAGAAATGGTCAGAATGTAGAGCCATCTAGCCAATGTCATCTAGTGACTAGAATGTATTAATTTGTGTGGCAAATATTCCTATATTTATTTTCAGCATTTTGTCCATTCACTGTAAGTTCCGGTTAATCAGTGTGCTGTGTCTTTTATGTCAACATTACTCACATTTACTTTAAATGTTAGAATTTATTATATTATTCATGAAAGAATATGAATGAGACATGTTTTGAGTCCCAAGACATCAAGTAAATGAAAAAGGCAATGATCAAACAATGAGTTAAACCCCCAAGGAATGGTACATTATTTGAAGGCCTTTTTTAGAAGTAAAGTAAAATTACTATGCTTTACATATATTTACTTGTATGTTTGAAATATCAAAATCCCCATTTCTCAAGTTTCTTTGAGTTAATATAATCATCATTGATAGTTTTACAATTTCATGAAATACCTTCACTCTATGTAAACTTGTATTTAATTACAGGATATATAGCGATTATAATGAAGACAATAGTGTGAATGTTATAAAAGACTGGAAGCAGAAATATGGTTCAGCTTATAAGGCTATTTATGTGATCACAAATGTTACAAGTGGCCGGCTTCACGAAGATGAGAAAAGTTCTGCAAATTGGAGCCTTATACATTTCAAACATGTGATCAACCTGCGTGAGAAAGCAATTACCTTTGCCAGAAAAATCTGGGCAGACTTTATATTTGTAAGTTAAATTTGCAATTCTTTTATCCTTTGCCAAGTTTAAAGATTACTGAAAGGATAAAGTATTTTGTAGATTATGGGTGTGTGTCAATAAAGTAAATTTACTAGTGTACTTCTTCCAAATGGCACAAAAATAATTTGTATGGAGGGTTTAAATCCTGTATTTTAGTTATATAAAAAATAAAAGTTAACATTGTAATTAATCTAAATGTCTATTAAAAGAAATCATAATATTTTTTCAGATGTTAGATGCAGATGTTTTTTTAACAAATCCTTCGACTCTAAAAGTTCTAGTCAATAAGGATCTTATTGTGGTTGCTCCGATGCTTATATCTGATGGACTTTACTCAAACTTTTGGTTAGCTAATATAGAGTTAAAGTTACTTTTATTATCTGCATGATGTATTACAGGAAATGTTTATATATCTCCATGTTTACTGCATTTGGTGCATGTTTACTATGTATTTCTATGCTAACTCTTTCATATTCCTACAAACGTTAATTTCATTACATTTTAATCCTGTTTTTATTACATATTTTTGTTTAGTAATTGCTGACCTTTTCTTTGTGTGGATCCTTAATTTTTTGTGCTGAAAGATTAAAATGGCTATTATTTTTTTTTAGGTGTGGAATGACAGAAAATTTCTACTATAAAAGAACTGAAGACTATAGACCCATTTTAGAACATGAAAAAACTGGATGTTTTAATGTTCCCATGGTTCATACAGCAGTTTTGATTTCCCTGAGGCATCAAAAATCTGATAACATTACATATAACCCTGATAAAATAAAGAACTACAGTGGACCAATAGATGATATTATAGCATTTGCATTGAATGCAAAAATGAATGGTGGTTGTATAAATAATGTATAACATGAGTGTTAAACAAAAAATAGAGATCATCTTTATTCATCATTATCATCTTTATTCTTTTTTCTAGGTATTACACTCAATATTTGCAATGATCATGAGTATGGATTTGTCACTGTGCCACTTGAAGATGGTAGTGATCTTTCACATGATCATGACTTGTTACTGAATATTAAACTCGAAGCAATCAGTCATGGAACGCCTCTGCCTCTGAATGATCATTTTGAAAAGTATGTGTCTTATCCGGAGCCTGGGAAAATTGGATGCAATGAAGTTTTTATTATCAATCTTGAGAGGAGAACAGAAAGGCGAAAACTTATGCTAATGAGCATGAAAGAACTTGGCATAGAACCCACTCTGCTTAGGGCTGTAGATGGCAGGTACTTAGTAAACCTTCATCCTATCATCATATCATCTAAATATCGGTTATATCCAAAAATACACAAAAATTTATTGTATTGTGTGGTATGGCTTACTGCCTTTTTGATTTGAGATATAATGTATGGAATTTTTTTGTATGTTCAAGTTTTTATGGGAATAATTTCCTTTATAAAATATATTACACGGTTCAAATTTGTTATTCCCCATGCCATGTAAGTTTGAGTGCTGCACACTCTTCATGCTTTACATAACAATTAAGCACATATAAATTATGTGAAACAAATTTGCAGATCTAAATGTAAATGTTGCTTAAAAATATAAGAAGCAACATATTTCTTTATCATTTCAGCCTGCTCTAGTCCACTGCTGAATATAGGCATCCCCCACAGTCTCACACAATGATGAAGCAATAATTATGAAGATTTTTCAACCTATTAGATAAGATTTTTAGACTTCTAGATTTTTAGATCTTTGAATACCAAACATTAACAAAGTTGTATGAAAATATAGCTTATTATCTTAAAATCTAAGGAGGTTAACCTTTTGTACCTCTATAGGAGCTGACTGATCAAGAATGTTGAATACATGTACAAATCATGTCTAGAGATTTATTACATGCTAGCTGTGCCCGCGACTTTGTCCGCGTGAAATTTTAAATAAAAAAATCTAAAATAAAAGTAGCCTAAGTTACTCCTTATTACATCAGCTATCAGCTAGTGAAAGTCCCGTCCAAAGCGGTACAGCCGTTTCAGAGATTTGCTTGAACAAACAGACAGGCAGACAGACAAAAATTGTAAAAAATAATATTTTGCCGTGTGTACTCTTTATTTAGTAAAAAGCGGTTATTTTAATATTACAAACAGATACTTCAATTTTATTTATGTGTATGTTTAAAAAGTTATTCTTCAAGTTTAAAAAGGAAAGTATGATAAATATTCACCTTTGTCTTAAATTTTTTTCAGAGAACTAGATATGTGCAGTTTAAAGAATGACGTCACATTCATGCCAGGCTACGAAGATCCATATCATAAGCGGTAAGCATGAAAGAAAATTGATTTTTTAGGTAGGTAGTTTGAATAAAAATATTCAATTTAATTATTTTTTATTTTACAGTCCAATGAAAGCTGGCGAGGTGGGATGCTTCCTAAGTCATTATTTTATTTGGGAAGAGGTAATCATTAATATTACTTTTGCTTTCTGTTTGGTATCCCTTTTCAACCTGAAGTAAGGTGACATCCACAAACATTTAAGTGTAAATCAATACATTGAGGGAGGAGAACGATGTATGGAAAAGACTCTTGCTCTGCACTTGCATGTCACCTGGCTCCTACTAATTTTATACTTAATAACTTTTTTGTACCTTTATCCTTCCATAATACAAACAAAAAATAGATAGGATTCTTTTTTTTTAATTTACTAAGTTCACCTGCAGATGTGACAATAAAACTTTCTTAGGTCATCTATACATTAATCTAAATGCTTAAAACGAATTGCACATCCAAATTATAGGCAAACATAACATTGATGTTTCCAGTTCCCCTCTGGCAGGTCTAGTTTAGAACCGGTGGTGGTTTTTGGCGTTCAATAAGGGCTTAGAATAAAGAAATTTTGACTTTGAACCCAGTGTCAGAGTATGTTCTGGGTTCAAAGTCAAAGTCAAATCAATTTTTATTTATCAAGTCTATTTACTATATTCTTGTTTAATTCCTTCTGCCTCTGTTATGTCGAGACTGTTAGATATTCGAACCATTTAACTGTTTTTCTATATCTAGTTTCATTTGCGTATTCACGAAAAACCACCAAAAAAAAAGAAGAAAATAAAAAAAAGACATCGTGTTCCAGAATGATTCCAAGACCAGTTCCTATTATAATTCTTCATCTAGTTTTCTCAAAGTACCTTTTATATTTGTAAAATGGTATTTACTTGTGTTTTAGATCGTGAAACATCATTATAAGATCACGTTAGTCCTTGAAGACGACATACACTTCGTACCGTTTTTCCGTCAACGTTTCCAAATATTGCTGAAAGAAATCGAGGTGTTAGATTGGGATTTGGTGTAAGTTTCTTTTCAAGAATTACGGTTAAATTAGCAATAAAATGTAGATTAATGTATTTCTTCCCTTGACGTTCCCTTTACGCGTTTGTATATGTTTTTAAGAAATCAGTTGTAAGATACATAGCTGTGTAAATGTACATATGCAAACAAATTATTCCTATCACAGAAATATACAGGAAAAAAATGTACTACAATGGACACAATGTTTTTACCATTGTTTCCATTGTATTATACTAGTTAATTATGGTACGAGAGCTAGCAACGTCGGGAAAAGAACAATTTCAGGTATCCCAGTTTTTAGATATGTTATCTCTCTCACACTTTTACGGTGGTAGGGCCACGCAGCAGCCTCGGCTGTTGCACGAATGGGCAGGCCCGTCCGGGTAAGTACCACGACCTCACAGAAGACCAGCGTAAAGTGGAAGTATGACAATTACTTTCGCGTTTCGTCTCGTGAATGAGGTAGCCGGAGCCCAAATTTTCAAAAGGTTGTCAACGTATCTGTAACCCTCAGGTGTGGCAGATGCCCATGGGCGGCGGTATTCACTTAACATCAGGTGAACCGTCTGCTCTTTTGACAACTTTTCGCATAAAAAAAACCACTCCGGGACGTCATACTGGCTATAAAGTGTCATCGTCTCAGACTATAAAGTGTGTTTTATTTATAGTCACATTTAGGTAACTTATAAATTTTTATTTATAGTCCGCGCGTTCTAACTTTAAAATCTTATAATTATGTTACCAAATACGATTACGATAACACATTCTTGTCATTGATGAAATTTAAATGAAATTCTATAGATACCTTGGCAGGAAGATATTACTAGACGGTGAAGAAGAATTCGCGACGCTTCATACTACTCGGCCTCTCTACTCATACTGGACCCTGGGGTACTTACTTAGCGAGCGTGGGGCTCAGAAGTTGTTGGATGCACAACCACTTGACAACTTGCTGCCGGTCGATGAGTTCCTTCCCATTATGTTCAATCAACACACTAAGTAAGTCAAAGTTCAAAAGCGTTAATAATTTTGCCATTCTTCAATTTTACTTTTTAACTTGCAAAGTTCGCATACGAGCAAGCGGTTCACCTTATGTTAAGTAGCCACCGCCGCCCATGGAGATCAACAACTCCAGATAGGTTTCAGGTATGTTGCCAACCTTTAAAAAACTCACTCACCAGTTGAAAAGGAAAAGTATAACACTTCTACTTTTGACTTTCTTCACACTTCCACTTTCACTTTGACTGCCCACTTTTGCAGCTGAAACTATTGCATGTCTCAACCACAGGTTGTACTGTATTAGATTAGCGAGCTAAACTGTTACTCACCTAGGTGTGTGTTTCATCTACTTTTTTAATGCGTCAATAACTTTCACTTGAGGGAAGTAGAAGTAGACAATGGCAATTGAATGCAGGGCTGCAACTACTTCTACGCAAGAGGTCAACGAAATAGGTCAACGACGTTATTGTGGATAAAAAACGCGCATGCTTCAGGTCCTGACCGAATAACTGTACTAATGGTTTAAAATACTCCCAGGCCCGCTACGGCCACGGGCAAGAAAGTTGCATGTGCTTTTCTCCAGCTGCTCTTTCACCAGACGCCTGGTAAAAGCCATAGTAATAAACATTCCCAAGCCGATTAAACCTCTCTGTCTCCATATTTGAAGAGAGATATCATAGGAGCTAATAATTATCAACAGGTTAAAGGATTTTCTAGGTCTAGGAGTATTGTTGCCTTTGAACGGTTTACCATTAGGCAATGGAGCACATTCTAAAAGGTTTAAATCAGCCCCACCCGCCCTCCACGGGTGCACTCTTTAATCAATGTTGCAATGTTGCAAGTTGTTGACACCCTATGTGCCAGACATGTTAGTTCACACCATACAAGCCTTCTTTTCGAATCAATCTTTTCGCTATTGATCACCCGAGTTGCACTCGTGATTTTTCTGGACCACACAATTTAATTTTATACGTATAGATTCACCGGGTGCATGATTCTACGTCTCCAAAGTGGTGAAAAATAAGATAAGAGGTATTCGATGTGAATGGAGAGATAGGTACAGCTTATACATTTTACCTGGGGCCACATCAGACCGCCCATCCCACCCGAGCAAGATAGAATATACAATGAAAGCAAATTACCCTTTTCTGCCAATTGACCCCTTGGGGATCGAAGGTCGACTATGACTGTGCTAGTCGACTATACTACAATGACTGTAGTCTCCCGACGGTAGTATATCTAGTCGAAACATAACTTGATTATTCTTCTATATATATATATATATGTGACATTTCCTTAATGTACTCTAGATCATAACTTGTGTTAATTTTTTTTGTGAGAATATGTGTAAATAACATTTTGACCGACCCAATAGCGAAATGTTTTAAATTTTGAAAATTATAGCTTTATACAGCGTGTCTTTACCACCGCGACAATAAATGAACACTTGAAAAAATATTTTTCAAACAAACTAATTAAGTAAAAAAGAAACAAAATTTGTAACAACCTATACAACTCGCGCCACAACGTCGTATTACAAGCCTCTCCTTCTAACAGTATGTTTTGTCTCTTTTAAATTCATTTAACCCATTCATACGCTTTGTGATCTTTAGAAATGAACTTTACATTAAAGTTTTATATGTAAAGGTGTTCTAAAATTCTTTGTTTTGGAAAAATTGATAACTCGGTAAATGGTGATGTTTAAAGAATGTAAATCTTTAATACAATTTGAAAAAGTTATCCTCCATATGTGTGTTGATTTATTGTCGCGATGGTAAAGACACACTGTATATGCGAAAGTCAACTATGTATTGAACCTTACTGAGGTGTATTTATTATCTATCCATACCATCTTTGCATTTAATTTAATAGAGCTTTTTGTTTAACTACATAAAATGGACAACATGTAAGTGTTAATGAATTTCTTCAGCAAAAGGTGTTCCTTTTTACTGAGCTGTGAATTAAATAATGAAATATTTTTATCCAACTTCACATGTTATATATTATAATTAAATACTTTCTATGATTAACATTTAAAATTTCCCGTTTGGCAGTGACACATGGAAATCTTATTTTCCGAATCGCAATCTGAAAGCATTCTCAGCAGCCCCTCTTTTGGTGCACCCAACACACTACACAGGCCAAAAAGGCTATATAAGCGACACGGAGGACTCCAAGCTGGTTGAAGAACAGGAGATTTCGGGCCCAGCAAAAGATGAGCTCTAGATTTTTTTATAAACCATACAAATACTTACTATGACTTATATTCAGTATAATAATCATTCTATAATGTTTAATCATTCACAATCTTTATAGTATATCCGATTTCCTAGTACTTCTACTACACTGGGAAAGGTAACAATATTTTTTTATATATAGATTATTAATTTTCACCTTTCAAAGGTCGCAATGAATTAATACTAGTCTTGATAAATGTAATTTAAGAAAGATGGTTTCCAAATAGTGACATGATTTACACTGTAGTGATTAACAAACATTTTTGTTCATGACTACTTTGCAAATTATGAGAAGTTTTTAAGACTAATACTATCTGTTCTTTCTACTACATAAACTAGATTCTAGCTGCTAGAAGATTAGAAATTCAATAGAATCATTCTTTACATAGATTAGATCTTTAGATTAGATAGATAAGGATTTATTGACATTGCCAAAGTAATATAATAAAAAACGGTTACATGGTATATAATATGTACCATGTAACTGTTTTTTAACATTTATGTTTAATATAATTATTCGAACTTTATTGAATTTAATTTTTTTATTCTATAATTGAAGACTAATATATTTTGTTATACATTTAGTTCTTATAATCGGTTTGAGATGTGTAACATGCTTTTTTAAAAAGATCCACCATGCATTTATAAAAATTTTTAACGTAATATAATAGATATAAGTTAATAATTTCTATTTTCAATTTCAATTTTATATATTTTGTGTAAATTTTGTAACTTGAAGTACTATATTAAGTGCCATTTAGTTCCTAATTATTTTTTTTTTAAATATATGATGTTATAACCATAAATATTAATGAGTTTTTTATTGAACCCATATTGACTAAGCCGAACCATACTGAATTTTGATAAAATTTCAGTGTTGTTCTTGTAATTTGCGTAGAAGTTCATTTACATTTTTTATGTTATATATTTAAAATGTTTGATTTTATGCCCGCCGAAATTTCTAAAAGCGATATATTAATATCTAAAAGAGTGTTTGATAGAGCTGCGGTAACTGAAGATAAAGATTTGGCTATTGAAGAAATCTCTAAAAAGTTAAAGGACCTATTCCAAGACCTTGGACAATCTGTAGAAATTGTATATAACATAGGTGACAATGTAAAAAATGCTATAGAGATAGTACCTCGATGCGATAAAGAACGAATTGCTGTACAGTATTGTTATGATGCAAATAAAGATATATTAAATTGTTCAGAGATAGTTCGTATGTTCACTGAATGCTCTCGCAAGCGTAGTGTTGGAATTTCTTGTTAAAATGTAATTAATAATGTTTTGAAATGTAGCAAATAATACAACATAAAAAATGTTTACGCCTTTAATCTTTTATTAAGCCTTGCATAAGAAATAGTATCGATACTGTTACGAAATTTCTTATATTAAATAATTGTGTGGTAAATTATAAATTGAATAGAATTTTATACTCACGTTTTTTAAATAAAATAAATAGGAATTGAAAATAATAGTCAACCCAAAGAATATTAAAGAAAAAAATATTGGTATTTATTAAACATTCACAATTGTAGTTGATTAATTTCGAAAATTTGTTTCTCACACAGCAAAACCATCTGCACAAGTTAAGAGATATTAAAATAAATACATATAAATTAAAGTTTGTCGTCTGCGAGCAATTGATGAAGAAATTCTATAATAGTTCTAGTTGGTCGGCCTGTCATCCCTCGGCCTAGATAAGGAAAATCGCTGCCTTTGCTGTAGGCTATGTTGTACGTGTCTAAATGGATCCATTTACTGTCACATACGAATTGTTTCAGGAACGCCGCACAATTCGGTGAATCGCCGTAATTAAAGCGCGCTGTATTTGCTACGTCCGCTGCGCTTGTGTCCTTAACTCGCTCCTCGTAAAATTTCCACAACGGCATTCGCCAAATTCTATCGCCCGTTTGACTGCTGGCTGACTCTAAATAGCAAAACAGTTCCTCCGAATTTGAATAGCAACCACACGCGGCCCCACCAAGGGTATGTATTAATTCTTTGGACATGGTGCCTATGTCTACGATGAACTTTGGCCAGTAATTTCGTGCGTATACTAGGCAATCTGCTACTAGCAGACGCCCTTCGCGCGAGGGAAGTCTTATTAGAATTGATTTACCATTAGCACTGTTCACTAAGTCTCCAAACTTGGGACTCTTCCCATTCGGCATTAACTCGCAGAGAGGTAAAATTCCCCTTATGTTAATGGGCAGTTTAAGCATCGAAGCTGCTCGTGTAATAGCGAGGACACAGGCCGCTCCAGCCATGTCTCCTTTCATATATTGCAAATCTTTCGGTGGCTTCAAGTCCAGGCTGCCACTGTCAAATGTTACTCCTTTGCCAATTAATACAATGGGCCGCTTGAGTTCGCCCGCTCCAAAATAGCTTATTTCAACGTATAAGGGTGGTTGCACCGAAGATCTCCCAATTGCCACAAATCCACCCATTTCATGATTCGCCGCCCATCCTTTGGTCCTAACTTCTACATTTATATCTAATTCGCACAGCAGGTCCACTGCAATTTTTGCAAAAGACGTGGGATTTAAATAGTTTCCTGGCATTTCTTGAAGATATCTAGCCAGATTCTGTGATTCCGCTTTAATCTCTCCTATTTTCCAACCATCAACATCGCAATCATCGTGAAGAACAAGTTTTATATTTGGTAGCACATTTTGGTTGGAAATTGTTTTGTACTCTTGAAATTGCCAAGTAGCTAATCTGGCGCCCTCAGCTGCTGACTCGGCGTCTCCGAAGGATTCGACATGAATAGTCGACGGACGTAACGCGCGTAACGTTTTTGTTCCTGATCCAGCAGCAATGCGAATAGCCTCTTTTCTTTGGTCCAATCGTTCAGAGGAGCTATACGAAAGACACTCTGTGCCAAGTCCAGCAACAGCAACGTATGCGAATTGAGGATCCAAATCATAAAATATCCGTGTTTCACCGAGCCTAGGTATGGGCGCTAAGTTTAATTGGTTCCAAAGTTTACCGCCAGAAATTTCGTTGTACTTTTGAGCACTCGCCGTAAGAATTGCAGATTCCGTTTTCACATTTTCGTTATAATATATTCCTAATACAAGACCTTTGTCACGAATTGCGCATGCCTTCGGATCTTTAACTTTTCGCGGTGAAATAGTTGGAACGCAGTCGTTCTGGCGCATTTTAAATTGTGATATAAACCGTACAGTGGGTCTTCCATTTCTTAATTTAATCATATTAAATTTATAAAAAATAGTTTGTAAAAAACAGATTTTCGAAATATAATCCCTAACATATAATGGCATCGCCTACTAGTTACATTATTAATAGTTTTATTTTTAAGAATCAATTCGTTCAAAAAATCAAATTAAGTTTGAATAACATTTGTAAGACACCAATTTCACAAAGCATACATTGTTCACTCTGCAGTCAAATTAACACAAAATGTCTTTAGGAAAGGTCAAGAAGTTTTTTTCTTGAGCCAGACGGGAGTGTTCGTCCTTATCCACGTTGGAATATTCAAGAGAAATGTCTCTTGCAATTGTCGGTATATAATCAGAATGAGAATAGGTATTGCTAGCCTCTCATCCCTAAAAAAATATACCCAAAAAGCAACCAACAGTAAACATATGTCTACAGTATAGTCAATAACTGATCTCACGTTTCGCTTGGCCCGCGCCTCTAGCTTTTGATAATCTATAGGTATGACTATAGTAGCTCTTTCAGTTTTCTTTAAAAGTACTTGTGTATCTTCGACTGGTTTAATTTGCGAGGCATTGATATGTTTTATTTGCTCCTTAGGGGAAATCTTCTTTTCTTTTCTCGGTAATTTATTTCGTGTGGTAATAAATTGGTCATTTATTTTCTTAGGTTTATTAACTGTGTTCTTTTCTTTTAATATAACAGGCAAAAGTTTATTCTCTGACAAATTTTCTTTAATTTTCTTTGTTGTTAGTTTCTCTTCTTCCATTTTATTTTGTACTTTGTTAACATCCAAAGTTACTTCTTCATTGGTCATTTGCTGTTTCTCTCCCACTGTTTTTAAATCATCTGTGTTAAGATACAGATGCGTTGCTGATTTTTTGTGACTACCATATTCTTTTACAATATTACCGTAGTAGTCTATGACAGTTTTACTTTCTTCAATTATTTTGTCATTCCCACTATCTATAATTTTTTCTTTCTTACCGCCTGTGTTTTGTGACTTTGGTTCACGTGCTTTCTCGGGTTCTTTTTTATTTAGAATTTTAGGAAAAGCGAACGATTTTTGTACAGGCATTTTCGTTATTCTTTTCAACAATGTCAGTTTTTCATTTTTCTTATTATTTGTCTCTTTTTCTGTAACGTTAGGCTTAACATCGATGAAATTGTTTTGTGTTTCTCTTCGCTTTAGGATAGGTTTAGGAATAAAGTTAGGATCAGGGAGTGGGGATAATTTTGCTTTTTCGTCTTCTTCAGATACTTCTTCCTCTTCCATGGTGTCATCCTGTTCTTCTTCTGGCGATTCTTTGACGGGGGAGGGTCTCGTGATTTTATTTCTTGGATTATAGGTTTCCTCTTCCAGTACATATTGTCCTCTGTCTATTTCTTCATTTAGACTATCTTCATCTGAATAGTCGTCATCCGTAGAGACTGTACTAGCTGTATAATCTTCGTCAAAAGACATTTGCTGCCATTTATTTTCTGAAGTTTCCGAATCCTGCGATAGTTGCTGTGTAGTATATTTGTATTGCTTATTCTCTATTGAATCCGTTTTAATGAAAATTTCTGGGGTCCTAAAGTTCCCTGCCGTTGCGGTTGGTACGATGGATTTTGGCGTCTCTGTATTTTCTTGTAGATTTATGTCTGGTGTACGCGGAATGTCGTTGTGGTCATTGCTTTCGTGCTTGGGGTATTTTTCGTCATTTTGTTTTGTTTGTTCCTCCTTCATGGCAACGGCCTTGTAGAAGCGGGCCATCGCGCGCTCATGCAACAGCTCGGTTGAGCTGACTGCGTTTCGTAACGCCTTAAAAGGCAGAATACATCGAGAACTTAGCTCGGGCGCCGAAAGCGACAGCGGCGGTGGAGATAATGCGTCCTCCAGGTCAAGTTGAAACGATTTTCTTTTCTCTGTAAATAAAAATTGGTTCGTTGAGCCTTTTTGAGAATTCTTGGTTTATCGCTAGACGCCGCGATTCATAAAAATAAATTGTAAGTCTTATAAGCAATTCTTCACATCGGGCTTTCGCTTTGCTTATGACGCTCTATTATATAATTATGAACAATACACATATTGTTAACAATAGATAATTGACCAGGAAATCCTTAGAAATATGAAGTTGCAGGCGAATGCGTTAGGCCTAATACGTCTTTCGCAAGGCTTACAGCAAGCTACATAAAATGAATACTTTTTTATTATTAATGCGTTTTTACTTGACTTTGTCTACTAAAATGTGACGTATAATTTCTTGTAGTCATTAAATAAATTATAATAATTTGCTATTGTTTAAAAATAATTTATAAACAAGAAGCCAACCTAAAGAGTGGAAATTGTAAAGATATTTGTGGCTAGTATAGAAATATCTTTTTTGTACGCAATATATTATGTTAATTTTGGTTATTTCGTAGATTTTTTAAAAGGTCTTAGGTTAACATTATGTGATCCTGTGTTGTAAGAATGTTTTACAAATATAAACTTCACATGGACAAACACCCAAATGCGAAACAATTATCTGTGGGACGACCCCCGACGCCGAAGCCATAAGAGTAACCATATATTCCCTATGGGGAATCTTAATTTTGTGAGAAGACAGAAAAGTTATTACAACCGTGTTTGTTTTTAATATTTACGGAATTTAATTGATCAAAATGATTACAAATAACTGCAGAAACCAATAGATTCTACATATAGAATTCGCAATTTCATAAACTTCGCTTTGCAGACCGAAATGCGGTTAACATCCTACCATAATAGTTTTGGGTTTATAGCACGTTAGCATGTGTTGGAACTACTATCGACTCTTATGTATTTATAGGCTAGATATGCGTGAATCACATGTTTTAGCAAAAGCCAGAAAATTGACAATATAAGACTGAAAATATTACCCAAGCTGATAGAGTAAATATGTGGTCTGAAACTTTTCTATTGTAATCTACTGACGTTGAGTGGACCGAAAAGTATTTTATTTCTGAAGTTTTATATAAACTAAATCATATTATCTCGCATTCATCCAGGGATCTTGTTAGGTAAGGCAAGATAGGTAATATTTTTAGCGTTCAGTCAAGGTTCCTGTTTTGTGCGGTGCTTACCAGCTTTGTCAGCCGATTTACGGCCTTCGGGGTACAGCACAAGCATGAACTCGTTGCTGCCGGCGGGCTGGGTTGAAGCACTCGGCTTTTGTTTCTGCGAAGGCGGTTCGGGCAACGAAGGGTGTTCATTTGTCGATGGGACGGTGTGAGCTCGTTTCCGGCGGGGCACCGGCGAGACGGGTGGCTCCTCGCCCTCCTCCCGCGTCAGCACCTGATTGATGATGCGCGCCTCCACCGCCAGGAACTCCATGTCGACGGCTCGGCCGGGAATCTGCACCGGCGGGGACTCCACGCTAGGCGCGCTCATGCCGTACGGGCTCTCCGCTTTCACGCGGAACCGGTACTCGCTGCCTTCTATCAGGTCGAACAAGGTTACGCTCGTCTTACGGCTGGTGGTTGCCTTCAGCCACACGTTCCAACCGCTTCGGAAGTACTCGACTACGTAGTTGCCTATCCGACAGCCGCCGTCGTCTTCGGGCGCCTCCCAGTCCAGCGTGACGGACTTGTCCACCTGGCGGGTGACGGACACTCGCCGCGGGGGGTCCGGTGGCGCGGTGATGGTGACCAGGAACGCAGCTGTGTCCTCGCCAATATTGTTTCGCGCGTGCACTTGATATTCCCCTCTGTCGCCTCTACGTGCGCTGTGTATTTTCAATATGGAAAATTTCGGCGTGGTTGTGATTTCGACGCGACTGTCGCTTACTATTGGCCGTCCGTCGTGTCGCCATTCGATTACTGGCGTTGGTTTGCCTACGATTGTCGTTTTTAGGAATACGGTCTCGTTGATTTCGAACAGGAGCCCGTCCTCGTATTGGCGCGGATAACGCAGTTTGGGTGCGGCTTCCAAAACAAGCCGGGCTCTGGAGACGGCGTGGCCGACGCGGTTAGTGGCCGTGCATTTAATTTCGCCCTCATCACTCGCCAACGTTTGATGGAAGACGAGGACGCTTGATGATTCGTTCGTTGTTATCGCGGTCCTCCTACTGCTGAAAATCTCGTAGTCGTCTTTGAACCAGGCGATAGTGGGGGTCGGTGTTCCGGTGAAGACAACGCGGAACTCTGTCTTTTCGTTTTCCAGCACTGTAGCGTCCTCTAAGTGCTGGTGGAACAACGGCGCTTCTTGTAGGCCGCGCTCGGAGCTCACGGTGAGTATATCGGACGCTTCGCTGTAGTCCGATCGGCCGACAACGTTGAGCGCAGCTACGCGGAACTGGTAGCGGTGCGGGGGCCCGAGCCCAGTCAGCACCAACTCGGGGCGGGCCACCACTGGCGGCGCGGTGCGAATCCAGTCTGGGGAGCCCAGCCGGTTGCATTCCACCTGGTAGCCCTGCAGGGGGGCACCCCCGTCGTGAGCGGGGGGCGCCCACCTCAAGGTGATCGCATTCGGCTCATCATCGGAAAGTATCGGGGTGATATGCGGCTTGCCGGGCGCCGCCGGTCGCCCTGTAACCGCAAACACGCATAATTAGCTGGTGGAGTTTCGCTGTTGCACCATGTACAAAGAGAGGTCAAGCGCCTCGGTCCGCCAGTCGCCATGCCGCCGGTACGCGGTGATTTGGCATTTTACACCATACAAATTTAGACGCGTGATAGTTGTTACATGAACGCGGCAAGTCTCGCGATTTGTTTTGTTGTGCCACGCTTCGGAAATCTCAGCGGGCGGTGTTTTTAAAAATAGCCGTAACAGCTGGGGCGGTTTCGGCGTGCTATGAGCGCCGTCGGTGGCTTGGAATGAGCGGCGGGTGTGTGCCCGCTTGCGGTGGGGTCTTTAGTTACCTGCTGATTTCCAGTGCACGTTCTTCCTAGGTCTGTGGGTAGCGTGTGAGGCAGAGTGCTGGTTGCCCATGGCGGCGGCGGCGCGCGCCGACACACTGAGCCAGCGCCGCTCGCCCCCGCTCCGCGACCCTCCCTCCCGCCCGCCTCACCGCTCTGGGAATAACTCTGCGCCATCGCCCGGATGTAATCACGATCCGCCAGATGAATCGGTTTCCTTTGGCGATCAACGCCCCTTTACGACCTTTTTGAAGCGAAACCAAGCATCAATCCATTATCAGATGCCAATTTTAAGATTATGATGGACATCAATGTGTCTAGATTGCTCGCGATTTCAGGTGCCAATTAAATAGTTTTGTTTATTATTATTAGTTTTATATAACCTACGATAGTGGCTTTGTGTGAAACTGGATATTTGTAATATACAATTTTGTGTTTGATAGAATGATATTTATTTTATGTATCAGGTTAATGGACAACATCATTATTAATAGGAAACAAGTTAAAATTTAATGACAAATTATACATAATAGCGCCATCTAGTTGTAACTAGCGATTCCACTTTCGATTACTTTATCTACAATTCTACACTACAGAGGTGTAAAATTTATGTGTTAATCAATAGATGGCACTTTATTAACACAAATTGAAGCAGGTGACTGTAACAAGTATATATGTAACATATAATTAATAAACATAAAATACAATGGCAGGAGTAAATTGCCAGCAGTTGAATAAATTTAATCTATAAGATTAAATTTATATCACTAAGAGATATGAAACTATGGTCAACAAATTAAAGAAAACGTGAAATAGAATATTAGAGTATCTTATATAGTAATTTTTGTATATATGTGGAGTTCAAACAAAATATGAAATTGAAACTAATACTATACGTCTCTTATTTATTTTAGCGATAATATATAATAGGTATACATAAAGGGAAAAGCTAGTCAAGTTATAGGGAGCCGTGAAGAGCTTTTTAAAAACTAAAAATAAAACTAAGCGATGTCTGTACAGAAGCTCATGTACTTTAAGAGTGATGGACTTATTCTAGTTCCTCCTGTTGCAGACTTACGTTATCTAATGCTTAGGACCGTGTCTAGATATGGACCACACATAGAGTGCAAAGTCAGCAAGCTTTACTATGACACTCACTGAAATTGACTATGTTGAGTTTCACTAATTGGTTCGTCAGATTCATTAATTTCAATTTGGTGATAACCACTGGCTTAGTCGAAAGTCGAGAAATATGTACCCTTACCTAATTTGTCGAAAATGTCAGTAATATTAGGGAGTGGACACTTGTCGTCGACAGTTATTTCGTTTAGTAGTCTGTAATCAATAACCATTCTGGTGGTTTCACAGGATGCATCTTTTTTTCAGGAATTAAATGAACGGGGGCTGACCAAGGTGAAAACGATTCCTGAATAACATTGTCATTTCACAATTTTTCTACCTGATTTCCTGCGTTTGAGCGAGAGGTTGTCTATAGGGCTTAACATAAATTGGATCCTCGTGTTTAGTTTTTATAAAATGTTGAACTTCATTTGCAAATGTTAAAAGCAATTGTTCGGTGTAAAAGATGTATTTGTATTCTGTACATAGTCTATGGATAGCGCTACGTTCTTTTTCGGACGTGTGATTTAAACGTAATTCCTGTAAATTTTGTTCTAATACTTTATCTATTTCAACATCAGGTAAATTCCTTATATTATTAACTATACATTCATCTACTTTCGTTCCATCATACATTTCCAAATTCAATGTTCTCTTTATGTTAGTTTTATCGGAATATCTAAAGTGTTTTAGATTATTGTTGTTGTATAACCATCGTTACATTTCACTAACGCAATAGGCATTCGCACACCCTTACAAAATTCCTTATTACCGATTTTAGCGTCGCCAGAATATAAATTTGTTGGGAGTTTGACTCTCTGTTCTGAGCGCGGGGATAATTCTAAGACGTAATGTGACTTATTATGTACTATAGGTATAGTGCCTGTTTTAGTGTTAAGGATTTTATTTTTTAAATCTATTACAGCTTCAAGACTGTTGAGAATGTCGTTACCTATTAAGCCGTGATACTTTGGGTCCACGTTGTATATATATATATATAATTGTGAATGTCGTTACAATTAAAACTGGTAAAGACGGAACTTTAATAACTTGGTTATGTCTGCTAGACGTGTGGGCTAATAAGCTCATATGGTTCATGCTACCGGTATCTATCATAAATTTTGAGTCGATTTCGGGAATATAAATATTTGGCAACTTTAAATTAATATCGCAATGTAATTCTATTTTTTCGCGGACTCTACCCAGGCATCTACCCGAGAATCCTCGTTTTCTACGTTGGTTTTCGCGTCATATGGTATTTCGGGGTTGGTGAAAGAATTTTCATTTCCATGATAAGTGGGTGATTCCACTTTCATTGTCAGCAGTTTCAAGTTCCAGTTCGTTCAATTGCAAACCTTGTTGAATCGTCCTAACTGGGGGCGCTGTGCGCATCGTGACGTCACTGGGCATAGTATCCTGATTTTTATTTAATTTAGCTTGTAACCAAATTGCGGGGGCTTATAAAAATTATGCTGTTGGTTTCCAAAATTTTGTGGGCGCATTCCAAATTGTTGAGGTCTACTAAATACTTGCGGTTGCATACCGAATTGTTGAGGACGCACACTAAATTGTTGTATGCGCATCCCGAATTGCTGCGGGCGCATATGTTGTGGGGGGTGGTAACCAAAAGTTTGTGAATTATTAAATTGGGGTGATTTTGGTTGTAACCCTTGCGGAACTCCGAAATTAAATTTGCTAGGCATGAACGCGGGCTTAAAGCCTATAGGTATGTATGGGTTAAAATTGTTTGTACTTAATTTAAATGTTGGATTATTATTTCGGGAATTTAATATGGGTTGTTTATTACTACAATTCCCGTACATTTTGTTGCGCAATGTATACTGTTCATGGAAGATAACCTCCTCCATGACCACACTTAAGGTTGCTTCTAAAGTACTGGGCGCTTTCAATCGAACAATACGCACCATGTTTTCCGGCAAATTGTATAAAAAGACATTTAAAGAGGTTTTATTATATATTGTGATTTTACTAGATTTAATATTTGTACGGACAGAAAATATTCACAAAATTCTACTAAATTAATTCTACAAAATTCTAAATACGACTCGTTGTTTTAATACGCAACTCTTCTAATTCTATCGCTACATATTCCTCACTTCTGGGATCTTCGAATTGTTGGACTAACAACTCTTTGATTTCGTCCCACGAATTAATATCTTCATGCTCGCTAAAGAGCGCTGTTGGTATATATATATATAATCGGAATCTCGGAAACGGCTCCAGCGATTTTCATGAAATTTAGTATGTGCGTAGATTCGGGGGCGAAAAATCAATCTAGCTAGGTTTCATTTTTAGAAATTGTCCTTTTATCCCTGTTTTCAGGGAATGAAAAATATAATTCGAATATGACGGTAAATTTCGTCACAAGAGAAAATGTCATAATAGCTCGGTCGGTAATCGGGCGGCCCCAAAACAGACGACCGTGGTTCGCGTCACGATCATTTACACATTTATTTTTTTACTTTTTTTTCGATTCCAGATCATTACTTTCTTTATTTTTAATTTTTTGTCGATTTGTGTTTTTGTTATTTTATTTCCCTTTTTTTTAAAGTTCTTTCTTTTGTGAAAAACATCAATTCATATTATTAAGTCGGTAAGATCGAAAAATATTATGCATATTTCATTACTCAGTAATTTGTATCTAAATGTAATTTCCAAAATACACGATTTACCAAAAAAAACAAACCGAGCAAAGCTCGGTCCTCCGGGTACTAAATAATATTATGTGTATAATCTTAAGAATTTTAAGCGTATAGAGTTACATAATTTTTCTTTTTGATTTTAGCGCCATCTCACGCAATAGAATGTATAATATAGTGAATATTGCGCTGCATGGACTTGATGATGAGTTAGTTCTTTTGTTACGTAAAGATGGTATTAATATCAATGTCTGATCAGAATTTTTTACATTTTAAGTTTTCAATATTTAAGATTAATTCAGAAGCGGCAGATATCTGTATCATTATGTTACAAAATGAAATTTGGTAATAAAAAAAATAGATATTTAAACTATAGAATAAACGTTATATACTAACAAAAATCAATCTTATCCTTTAAACGAGCAATTCTTGTATATATATTTATATATAAAATCTTGTATATATATATATATATATATATATATATATATATAAAAAAAAACCGTTTAAAAACTTTTAAGTTAAACGGTTTTATTTTATGTGCACTGAAAACTACAATATTGTATTGTCATCTAAATTAAATGTGTGTACCAAATTTCAGATCAATCTGACAACGGGAAGGTGCTTAAATTTCAATTTCTAATTTTGACCCAAATAAATAAACAAATAAATTCCGTACGGGTCGAGCTAACTAAATACATGAAAATCGCTGGAGCCTTTTCATGAAATTTAGTATGTGCGTAGATTCGGGGGCGAAAAATCGATCTAGCTAGGTTTCATTTTTATAAAATGTCCTTTTATCCCTGTTTTCAGGGAATGAAAAATATCATTCGAATAAGACAAAAATTTCGTCGCAAAAAAAATGTTAATAGCTCCGTCGGTAATCGGGCGTCCCCAAAACAGACGGCCGCGGTTCGTATCACGATCATTTTTTTTACTTACACACTTTACTTACTACCACTACTTACTTTACTTATTTTTTTTACTTTTTTCTAGACCAGATCATTTTCTTTATTATTTATTTTTTTTATTTCCAAAATACATGATTTACCAAAAAAAATACCGAGCCAAGCTCGGTCCTCCAGGTACTGAATATTTAAACGCTGTATATTTAAATTATATAAATGTTGTAAACAATATGAATTATAATTATATAAATGTTATAAATAATAATGTAATAAATGTGAATATTTAAACACAATGTGATAAAGAAAATTGTGGTAATTAAATTAAATGGTTGAATTTTAACTATTTTTAATAAGAACCAATTTCAGAAACGCTATAAAGTGTTTTA